CCAGGGGTGCCGAGAACCATCAAGAAAATGCCACTCTAGGCCCATGCACTTGACGATGCTGTTGACAGCTGTACAATAGACATTAAAAATTATATTATACAAAAATTACCTTTGTTAAATGCTTGTCTTACATGTGTGTCTAGCACAGGACCCCTGATTCTTGCTGATACTTGCTAACAAAACCAAATGAAGCCTGACACTGAACGGAGGCACTGCTCATGATCAGGGAGCTGTCTCAACAGCCTGGGTGTCACCTCACCTCTGATCTGCAAGAACAGGGACCATCAGGTTATCCAGAAAATCTCAACATTTCCTAGTATTTGGACCAGAACCGAATTTAGTATTTTAGTATGTGGAATCTCAATTTAGTGATTTAAGCAAAAATTCCAAATCTTTTCTTTTCTTCCCCTGGTCAGAATTTGAATGCTGTTGAGAGGATCAAGGGTGAAGAGACTACAATAAATATCAGTTGATTCAGAGCAGACTGTGTAGGGAGCCCGGAGCTGGTGTACTGGATTAAGAACATGCAGATGACAATCTGCTGGATGAGGAGGCATGAGCCACAATGCAGGAAGCTCCCTCAGCATCCCACCTCCCACTTCGGGGAAAAGAAACCACTGGAGGCAGTTTCAATGCGCTCATACAAAGGGAGTAAATTCAGAGTCTATGACTTACAGGTCCCAGAATAGAAAGGGGTGGGGTGGGGTTGGGGCTGTGGACTGAGCCAGTGGAAGGGCAGTCCTTCATCCCAGGTCATGAGAGCAGGAGACAGAGAACAGGGCAGTGAGCACCAATTACGTAAAGAGGTGGTTGGGCTAAACTCCATCTTGAGTGTTTATTTTAAAAGGACCCTCGGGAAAAGCAGACTAGGAATCCTGGGGGAGGGAAACCTAAGCTTGGGTTTGTCTGAATGTCCTGAGCTGGGCTGTCACACGGTAAAATGCTTAGGCAGCAACTCCCAATAGCTGCTTTCTCATCACACAGACTACATCTCTGACTGAGGTGGGCTGCATCCTCAGTCTTCTCAGGTCGCTCCCAGAGGAAACTGCCCATCTTGCTTGGTCCTCTACAAGTGCCCAGCAAGACTGGGATCAGGCTTTTCTTTGTGTCTAACCTCACTCTTTCTTTGGGCCAGTGTGTAAGTTCATTTCTCCCAAGGGACTCGGCTTTTCAAGTCTTGCCAGCCTAACCCTGGGGAAAGGTGAGAGGTAAAGACAGCATCTTAGGATTTCTGTTTTTAAAACAACTACTCCACAGTGAAGGAGCAGTAACAGCTACTTGTTCTGAACATTTAATAGGTGTCCCAGTATCTGTGGCCTCAGCTCAAGACCACACAGCCTCCTGCAGCATTTTCAAGCCCAGGACTGAGCCACCAGTCAATAAACCCTGAGTAACCTCAATTCAGGTTAATGAGATTAGGCGCTTGCTCCGCACACTCCCCGCCTCTTCTCTCCTTCTCCAGGCACCTGTAATGCTAGACCAGCAGGTCTGCAGCTTAGTCAGGGGCAGGCGTGGAGTGGTGCAGGACAATCAGGGCCTCTGACCTGCTACCAGATCCAAAGGCAGTGCAGCCAGCCAGGAGCACTGTGTGTGAAGGGCTAAGAATGTGTGGGAATAACATGCAAGTTCAGGGGGAGGATGCCCTCCTGGTCTTAAGAGGACTCGAGATTGGCTGGAAGAGAGGAAATATTAGACCTTGATTCCTGAGGGCGTTGTATCTTGTCCTCTAAATCAGAGGATGCGTGTAAGTGGCAAAGTGAAGGGGAAGGTCATGTGAGCCTGGTATAAAGAAGATTAAGACATACAACAACTCTTGAGTTCTTCACCTGAGGGAAATGGAAACAGGTGGTCCACACAAAAACCCGAACAGCAATGTCTGTCGTGGCTGTGTTCCTTATCACGAAAAATTGCCCAAGTGTCTTTTACCTGATGACCGTGTAAACATCTGCACAATGCAACTCGACTCAGCAATAAGAAGGAACACAGATGGCTCTCAAATGCATCAGTCTTCTTAGAGGGAAGCCAGACTCAAAACGCTACATGTGATATATTTATATAACACTCTGGAAGAGGCAAGACAAAGGGACAGAAAAAATTACTGGTTGTTTGGGGTCACGACTGGGGAAGGTGCCCAAAAAGGGGCACATGAGAACTTCTTGGGGTGATACAATGGAACCAAACCAAGTGTGGTTTGTTAAAAAATCACCTGTATGCATTTGTTAACATGTATAAAATGATCCACTAGAAAGGGTGAATTTCACTATTTGGAAAATAAACTTCAATAAGCCAGACTTAAACAGAAGTAGGGACAAAAGAAGGGAGCATGTCAGAGGGACTTAATGAGTCCTGGAACTTATGATGTAAGGATCAGGGAAGGGAGTAAGCTGGGAGCAGTATTAATGACCAGGAGACAGAGAAAGCACAATGAAAACTATTTGATGCTTTCCTTTTAAGAGGATTTTCAAGAGCACCTCGTTGTAGGCAGTGACTCCCTTGCAAATGCAGGATGCAGCTTCCTTTGTGTCTGGGGAGTGTAAGGAGGATCTGGCGATCACTAGGTAAGAATAGGCAAGAAGAGTTTAAACCTGGAAACAACTTCCAGCTGGGAGAGGCTTTAAGGGCCCTGTTTTCCCAGTGATTTGAGGTCCAAGATGGTTCAGAAAGGTCACAAGTTGTCATAGTCAATCAATATGAGACTTAATCAGCTGAAATGATGAGCAAGCTTTCTTCAGAAGGTCAAGATAGTTTGGCTAACAGCCATAATTATTGACACTAATAATATAAGCATCTTAAATTTCAAGCTAATACAGATGTCCCACTTTATTTGTAGCAAGGTGACATGGGGGACAATTCCATCGCATTTTACTGTGTGAAACAAAACAAAGGAAATGTAGGCAGACCCAAAGTAATGTCAACACCTAAAGCATTTATTTGGATATCTTTAAACTTTTTACATATGATACATTCCCAATTTTACAAGTTGTCCACAGATAATAAAGTTATAGCCAATTTATTAAACAGATATGATTTTTCCCTGATATGGAAAGCATGTTTATATAAACATTTCTACAATAAACATAATACATGCGGAACAAATCATGACTAAGATGATTCCTTAGTTGGGGAAGACAATTGGCTTAATGATACACACATCAGAATATAAAAGGGTGTGTGTTGCTACTTGATGTAAATTCATTTTCTCTCAGACTCCCTGACCTTCTCAGAAAACGGAATCCAGGGATACCCTCTGCTAACAGCAGGCTTATATGAAGTCAGTTTTAAAAGTTGAAGTATTGTTATGATTTGGTGAAGAAGTTTATAATCCTACTATAGAGGGAGAAACCTGGTTTTATTTGGAGTTTAAGCTTGGTTAACAACTGGAGAAAAGCCAAAAGAAGCTGGACTTAAAAGCTAAAGGAGTGGGGATGTGACCAAGGCCAAAATAAACATTAAAATCATGATGCCATAAACAGACCACACCACCAGAGAGGGAGAAAGGCCAGGAGAGGGGATGAGCGCTGGGCTCTATCGTGGATTTTCCTTCCTGTTGGGCAAGAAGCGCCCTCTCAGATGGGTGAGTCAGTCCCTGGTAAGAAGGGTCAAGTTCGTCCTTTCAGAGGAAGGGGTTCTTCACACACCGCCCCGGTGATGCAGCAAGTGTGGCTTCTCTATCACCACTGACTTTAGCTGAACATCTGGATTTCCGGCCTTCCTCCTGGGTATACTGTGGAGGATGCGAAGCTGAGCAGGATGCAACTTTCAGACGCAGTTCGAAGAAAACTGAGTGAAACGGTTACCTGTATTGGCTAAAAAAGTCCAAGAGCCTCTTATTATTCATTCATCCCTTAGTCCCTCCTCAGAGAGACTCTGAACTGATTCCTCCACCAAATCTGCCACCACTCTCCGCGTACCCAAGCTCTTAGCACACATGATCATGCGAGAGTGGTGTGTGGCATGGCGTGGTTATAAACTATTTTACTAAGCGGCTATCATTCTAGGAAGGCACCTCTTAGTAAGAATAAGGTTCAAAAATAATAAAAAGCCTGGGCACACAGGCTGTCCCAGGAATGTACTAAGTGAACTAGCAGGTAAACAGCAATTCATCTATCCCAGAAAATGCTGGAAGGGTGGGGGAAAGGGAATTTCAAAACACTGAATTCTCATTTTTTTTTTTTGCAAGTGCTTGATTCTAGATGAATACACTCTTTCAACTTAGTCTTAGAAATAACAGAATATATTATCTGAAAAATTAGGATACTCTTAAGTTCTCAAAAAGCCCTTTAAAATGAGGATTTTTTCCTCAAAGCCAAAAGTCTTGCAAAAAAAAAAAAAAAAAAACAAAAACGAGGGGGGAATCCAATCTTGTACAGCCGTACAGCCCTGAAAATCAGCTGGTACATAAAGACACCGCCATCTCCTCTTCGGATTCCCACAGGCTCCTCCAGCAAGTGTCCCCCAACCCCCTCACAGCCAGTGGAAACAGGGAATGCCACTTTCGAAACACACTGTTTTGCTTAGAGGTAGGGTGCCATCAGCTGTGGCGACACTGACCCAGCCCCCAGGTTGAGTCACTGAGCAGGCCCAGGAAGTGTGACCCCCAAAAGACCAGAGACTCTGCTTCCTGCTGCTGCTGAATCAGCTTCTGGCCTGGAGTTCCCTGTGCTCAGTAATGTGACATGGCTCAGATGACTGGGGAACAGTCAAACGCAGTCAGATGCCCACAAACGGGCTGAGTCCAGCCCAGGAAGAGAAGCTCCTTCCTGGATTCGAAAATTCAAGAAGTTATGTCTGAAGGACACAGCAAGCGATGCAAGAAAATCTGCTGGCAGAAAATGATTTTCATCAGTTCCTGGAGCCAGAAGCTATAAAAATAAAAACTGGGGGGAAAAAAAGCTTAAATAATTTATTTCCAAATTCAGAAGAAGCTATTTCCTATTTTCTTTCTCGAAAAGCCAGCTGGGTTACAAAAATCCAAGTTCATGTATTTGGTAGTGAAGTAGCTATAGGTGTTGCCAGTCAATGCCAACCAGTGTCTGGTTTGCTTCCTGTGCGTGTCCAATTTCCTCTGTGATACTGTGCTGGTGCCAGAGCTTCTGAATCTTCTTGAATCGTTCTCTGCACAAATGTAAAGGATTTCCCCGTCTGGAAAGAAGACACATGTCACTCAGGAGGCATTTGGTGGTATATTCATCTATTCTACTCCAACCTTTCCTGGTTTAGGAAAAGCTAACAAGTTACTGGTTTTAGATCCTCTGCAAAATTTCTCTTTGGCAGGCATCTGTGGCTATTAATATGTTAGCTCTGACCGTTTGCTAGGAGCAGCTAAAGGGGAGTAAGTGCAGAAAAGAAGAGGAAAACAAACAAACTACACTGACTCAGGCTGGGGTGAGGAAGAGGAGGGTGGGGTTGAGCAGGAGGATTAACGTTGAGAGGTTAAAACTATGCATTCATTGTCCATTTTGTTGGTAAAATGTAAAACAGGGAGTGGCGGGGGGAGGATGAAAACATTACACAGGTAAAAATGTTCTTCCAAGTACGTCGTTTAGATCCAATGTTTAAGCAAAGCAGCCAAATATGAATAACTCTGGTGTCCAACTTAACGAGAGAACAGGTGTTGGTGAGTTCACGTCTGAGGCCTTGGCTCCCGACTCAGAGCATCGGTCCTCTCAACTCTCCATCCAGGGCTCCTCCTCCTGAGAGCCCACATTTCTTTTTTTTTTTTTTTTTTCCCTGTTTGGCTCATTTCTTTCTTCATTTATTCTTCCATTTATTCATCCAACAGTATTCATTTAGAACCTGTTATATGCTAGTTCACTGTCCCTGGTTACATAAAATTTGGCCCAGGAGACAGGCAGTAGGCAGGTAAACACAGTGACTCGGGGTCATAACGTGGGCTAAGAAGAAAATGAAACTGACCAATGTGACAAACCTACTCAGAGGCTACGTTAGCCAGGGTGGTCAGGGAGGACTTCTCTGAGGTGGCGGCACTGGACTGAGACCAGCAGGAGTCAGCCACGTGCTTATGGAGGTACGGGAGGAAGGGGGATGGAAGGGGTGGTACGGAGTCATAAGAAATACACCAGGAACTCATCTGGAATATGCAAGGACTACCCAGCAGTCGGAAGAGACAAAAACAAAGCTCTCAGTTACCAGTGGTTATATAACAAATCACCACGAAGTTAAGGGCTTTAAGAGCTCACATTTCTCAGAGCACCAGGTTGAACCATCAACTGGTGGCACAAGTGTATCCTTGCAGTCAGTCAACTGTCTGGGGAGCCCAACTACTTACCTTGCCTTGGTTTCCAGGCCTTCAACTTCTGCTCCCCAAGCCTGGGAAGCCACATCTAGGTTAAGGTTTTTACCCCATTTTGGCAAAAATAAGCAGTCTGAAAATTCTTTAATAGTGCTTAAAGGAACTACTGTTCGTATATTGCTTTTGATGAAATAGGTGCGACCAGAGCAGCACACTGCCTCAAATACTGTTTACTGCTCTATATGTTCTAAGTCTTTGTCCCCCAGAGTCTTATGTAGTAAGGTAAGTGCATCTCTTATCAGTTAAGATTTGCTCTTTTTTCATCACTTGAAGAATACTGGGTCTCCCACATAAAACTGCACAAGTCACAGTGCGCTCTCCCTGCAACGCTTGATGCTGAGGCTGCTGCAGGACCCCTCAAGCAATTCTCTGGAGTGAGACATGGAAAAAAGCTGCACTCTGTCCCATTTTCTCCCCCTTATGTATCGTGATGGCCCTCATGACATTCTGAGGGCTAGCAATGGGAATGGCAAACCACATAGCAAGGGGAGCTGCCCTGGAAGAGTCCACAGACAACAGCCACTTGTGCTAACGCCCTCGGCGGGTAGCAGGCAGGCCTCTGGACCACAGGGTTCATGGGGATTACCTCATGCTGAAGGTCCTGGAGGCCCAGAGCCAGCCAATGCAGTTCCCCAGGATGGGCCTTACCTGAGTCCCTGGTCAGTCTCCCCATAGTCATCAAGGTAAGGAGGAGAATAAAAACAGCCTTTGGTTTTGCCAGCTAAAAACAGTACTTGACATTCTCGTACTCTGTAGAGAGACCAATTTATACATTAAGGACCAAAATTTGAATTCAGTTACAAATGGACTGAAGTCCTAGAGAAATCAACAAAACCACTAGAAGTACGGGGTTAACAGATATAAACTATTATACATAAAATAGATGAACAATAAGGATTTACTGTACAGCACAGGGAATTATACCCAGTAACTTGTAATAACCTATAATGAAATATAATCTGCAAAAAAACAAAACCAAAAACCCACTACATCACTGTGATGTACACCTGAAACTACTGCAATATAAGTCAACTATACATCATAAATAAATGTAAACAAACAAAACTAGTGCTGGAAGGCAAGCAGTGGTATTTATAGCAGAGACACTTGATAGTTTCAGGTGGACAGTGAAGGGACTTAGCCATTTATGTATATGTGTGTATCCATTCTCTCCCTAACTCCCCTCTCAACACATGCCTAAGTATTAAAAATAACTAAAAGGACTGTACTGTTATCAATATAAGGAGGAAGAGGGACATTTAGGATTAGATTTCAATAACTCATATAAAACTGGCATTGAAAAAATTAAATATGAGAAAGTTAACTTCTAAAAGCAGTTACTTATATATCAACCACTCTTATGAGAAAATTATTCATCAAAACATGGTACACAGACATTATAAATTACATAAGACCTGAAACACAAAGCAACCCCCACTCGACCAGAAGCATTCTGAAATATGCTGAACAAAGTACAACACTACTTTCGTATTTCTCCTAAGGGTTTTAAAAAAAAGTTTCCTGATTCTGTTGAGAGGTTTGCTTAACTTTTTCTGGTGTAATTTAGCTCAATTCAACATTTACTGAGAACCTGTAGTACACTGGAGGTAGTAAGATGTGCCTAAAGTCTACGCCCCAGCGGAGTTCAAACTCACGTCACTTCTTCCTTTCAGACCCTGCGATGGCTTCCATCTCACTCAGAGATGCCAAGGGGACACACCAGGCCCACGACTCTCCCCACTGTACTCGCATGGCAGTAGCCTCCATGCTGTTTCTTTTCTTTTGGCCATGCTGTATAGCTTGTGGGATCTTAGTTCCTGGACCAGGGATCGAACCCATGCCCTCGGCAGTGACAGCTTGGAGTCCCAACCACTGGACTGCCAGGGAATTCCCTCTTTTCTTAAGTAAATTTTACTGAGGTGTAATTTTTAAAATAAAATATATCCGTTTTTAGAACACAGTTTGATGAATTTCATCCTTTCTGTTTCTTGAACATGGCAGGCACACCCCCCAGCAATTCTGCACTTGCTGCTCATTGCACCCTAAAATGTTCTCCCCTCTCCTTTATGTTTTTATTCAAGACACCTTCCCAGGGACCTTTTCTGGTTTCCTATCTATAATAAAATCCACCTCAGCTGCCATTTCACATTCCCCTCCCTGCCTTTTTTCTCTTCTGCATGGATCACTTTCTAAATTCTTATTTTCTATCTCCCTCATGAGAAAATGAGCTCCATGAAAACAGAGATTTTTGTCTGTTGTGTTGACCACTGCATTCTCAATGCCTCGTATACAGTCACTAATAAGTATCTGCTGTACACTGTTGAATACACACAACTACCTGTATCAGTCTGTGCTATGTGTGAATCCTACCATTATAACAAAAGAAGCAATTAATTCTGACTGTGCCTGGGTAGAAAATCAAAGACAGCTAGCAGTTTCACATTAGAACGAGGCGCAAAGAAAGAAAAACAGAACTGTCACAGGGATGGAAATGACAATGGAAGAATCAGCACAGAGTTAGCATGACCCAAATGTGAGGTGTGGAGACAAGGTTCCCCATTTTCCTCAAATGAATAAAAATGGTGGCCTCTAATCCTCTGCCATGCAGCAGTTTCTTGTGTCCATTACTCAACAGGCATCTACTGTGGCAGATCTAAAGCTAGAAAGCTCCTTCCAGGGCCTTACCTCAGGAAGATGCCCACCCCGGAACCACAGGAGTAGGTGTGAGCAGTGCATGCCCCCACGTCCTCCCCTTCCAACTCCGTCTGGCAGCAGTAGCTCTGGGAGCACAGCAGGGTTCCGCATACAAGGCACATAGTTGGGGCTCTGCTCTTGTCACCACCTGATTTGGGGCACCTTCATGGAATAAAAAAAATACAAGTGAAGACTAAAGAGCTGATGGTGGTAAAACCGTCCTGGGAAAAAATTCTGCAATATCAAGCAGAGCTGAAGATCCATACGGACTACAGCCCAGGCAAATTCATTTCTGGAATAGATAACATCTCACACATATACACCAACATCAGGTACTGGAAACAATCAACAGGAGAAAGGAGAAATAAAATTATCAACAGGAGGAAAAAATAGGTAAATGCTGCTACTCTCAGATAATGAAACGCTATACAACAGTCAAAAGTGATGAATTAAAAATTATGTATGTCAAAAGCCACAGGAATAAGTACAATGTTATTTTAAAGCTTAAAACAATTATATATGCAAAATAATATATACTGCTTAGGAATATAACTATCTGTAGTTAATGTGTTACTTAAAATGCAAAAGGTTTAGATAAACTGTCATGAATCAAACTTGTTCCTCAGCATCCTGTTTCTCATATTTTATTCTGTAAGATGGTGGGATCATCCTTTTATGAGTTAAATAGTGTAAAGTCCTCCTGATGTTACGATTTCCCTACCCAAACAGAAAAGAACAGTGAAATCTTTCACATTCTGTGTAGAGAATAAGTGTTTACAGTGGCAGGAAACGCTCAATAAGCTAAAATCAAAACTTACGAGAAATTAGATGCTTGATTAATGAGGCTGCTGTAATCCTCTGGAAGGTCTATTAATTTGTTAGATTCTCTTGGATAACTAGAAAGACAAAACAAAACAAAAGCCACACAGAAACTCAGTTAATAGGAGGACATATTGTTTAACAATAGCAAAGTAACTTTTGATTTAGTCAAATAGAGGAAAACTGGGTGCTACCACAGCAGCAAGAAGCTATAGCAAGAAATTCAAAATGCACTGCACTCTTAAATAACATAGGGCCTTAGGATTCATATTTTACTTGAAGAACTCAGCATAAAAATTATCAGGACAACAGACAGTACTGTACACTTGTATCTTGCTTTCTCCCTACCTCCTCCCCGCAACCAAGAGGTTTGACAATCTTTCACCTACCTTATAGCGTCTCTTTCACCTTCCAGGTATCTTTTAATTTCGATGTTATGACACCAACTTTAATGTAAATGGAGGGAAAAATAAAACACAACATTTTTACTTTTGAAGAGCTAGAACTAAATGTACGAGGAAATAAACATCTCTACTACTGTTCTCTGTCCAGGCCAATCTACTTATGCTAGTCACTGGGCCTGGCAAAAATCTTATCACGAAGGTAAACCCTTAACTAAGAAGGCCTAATGAATCACAAGGATTGAATTTTGCCAGGCTCACTATCTGAGAATTTTGTAAAATATGCAATAAACTCAAGTTTGTTTCCAAATATATATATATCTATCAATATAAAGAAGAAAATTGTATTGTTATTACCTTTCAATCAGTAATTTCATTATCTCCTTATTTTCTTGAAAAAGACAAATGAGGTTGTTTGGCAGGGAAAGATAGTTACATAAATGTTCAAAATGGCTTGTTCCAGAAGCTGCAAATAGAGAAGGAAGAGATACAGATATAACAATTAAGAGCAGATTCTATATTAGAGTAAGCAACAGCAGAGTTTAAAACAAAAAAAAGCACAAGACAGAAGAGTTCAATTTTGCTAGGTACATAACCTGCAGGAAGTAAATAAGATGGCACAGGAAGGAATCCAGAGAGTCAGGCGACTCCTTTACTAAACTGGCCACAATTTCTTGATGTTTCAGTATTATCATATGCAAAATGGGACACCTGTCCTGTGTGATATGCTTTATGGGGTTATTTGTGAACATTAAATGACAAAAATAACATATGGGGAGCTCCAGAGAAGTATAAAGCAGTACAGAAATATAAGACAATTTTATTACTGAGAGATGGATTTAAACATTCACTTAATCATCACTGCAAATGATTAGGAAGTCTAAACTGTTCTCTCAGTGGTGCCTGGACAACTAACTAGATGGAGATGCTATTCAACAAACTTGTAGAGAGTGACATTACATGCAGGTACCCCAGGCCCTGGGGCCAGGCACTACGAGATACATTAAACTGTTAATCTACCTTTACATTACTTTCAAGAAATGAAATGAAGCAGAACACAGAGAACAACTGTGAAATAGCAAATTAACTCCTATATTAAAATCAGATTTATGTGCAATTATGAGTATTCTGAACCTCAGTGCCACGTTTCCTGTTAAAAACCACCTGAATTTCAGTTTTCCCTTTTTAAAATCTGAAGAACCCATTATACATAAATAATATATACTTGAACATTTTAACATCTGACAGCAAAACTATATTTTTATACATGTACAAAATCAGTACATTTACTGAGATTCAAAGAAAATCAGATATTTACATAAATATGCATTTAATTCTGTAATTTTATACATCACCACTCAACTAGCTACGATCTAAAGATTTAGTAAGTTTTAACTTTTGCAATGCACTTTAATTCTTAAATTGCTGGAGTGAAAGACAACACACATTTCCTACATTTTGAAAGAAATTAGAATTACCTTGAATTTCAGGTGGGGAAGGAACTCCATTTAAGTAATGGAAAAACAAAGCAGAACACCTCAGAAAAGGCATGATTCCAGCTCTGACATTCCTCCACAGATGCCAACCAGACGGCATTTCTTTCAAGGCACTAAAAAAGAGAAAAATGATAAGTGGGAAATTTAATTTAAAAATGATTCATTTTTGTTACAGCACAGTGTGAAAACAGACAACTGCTATCTGATTGTCAAAGGTGAGGGAAGCTCTGACTATCCAGGGTGTCAGGTATAACTGCTGATATACCCTCCACACTGTTATTAAAATTTATAAAAGTAATATAGCTACATAAAGAGAAAAATATGGAAAATAAAAATTATCCATTATTCTGTAACTTTTATATTAGCAGGTATTCTTCTGGCAAACTACTTTCATACTAATCAGTCTAACACAGTTATAAGTGTAACATGAAATTTAAAATTAACATAAAAAACTCCCACATTTTTCAGAATACCATAAACTATAATTTTTATCAGAGTTTTAATACTCTGGATAATACCTATCATAACCTACACTAAATTACTCCCTGCAAGCAAACTCTTAGATTGCTTTAAACTCTTTGCTAATATAAATAATATCAGTGTACACTGTTACGTCTACAGGTTTTTCTGTATGTGGATTATTTTGTTAGTATGGATTCTCAGAAATGGGATAACTTAGTCAAAGAACAAACAGCTTGGTTCCTGAGATCTACTATCAGAAAGTCAAATGAAACTGTTATAACCAAATCACAACAGCCCCAATAACATATGAGGTTCCAAGAACTTCTACCAGCCCTGGATATTATCTTAAAAATGTGTGGGAAGAACTGTATATTACCCTGCTTGCAGAGATTCCCAATCATGTTAGTACAGTAAAAGTCTGGGAGTCCTGCAGATCCCCCATCTTCTTTTTCAAATGTGTCAACAGACAGCAATTTCCTTTATTTAACAAACTCCACTTTCCCCCCTCTTTTTCTGACATGTATACATTACTATATTTATTTATTTTTGGTTGTGCTGCATGTAGGCTTTCTCTAGTTGTGGTGCATGGGCTTCTTACTGCGGTGACTTCTCCTGTGGAGCACAGGCTGTAGGTGTGCAGGATTCAGTAGTTGTGGCGCAGGGGCTTAGCTGCTTTGCAGCTTGTGGAGTCCTCCCAGACCAGGGATCATCTGGGAACCCTGGTCCCCTGCATTGGCACGTGGATTCCTATCCATTGCGCCACCATGGAAGCCCCAAATGAATTCCTTTTTCATGCTATCGCCTCCTAATATTTGGGGAACTGCCTATCATATAAAGAGTACATATGATCTCACCTTCCTGTATACTGCTGAATCATTTTATACAAAGCAAGAACTGCTAATTCTTCTTCTTCACCAGCAGCATTTTCTTGATCCATGCCACTCTTTTCTGAAAGACAAGGCAATATTAGTGCCCTGCATTTGCCTACTAAGTGGATTGCTGACCACATCATTTAAGCACTCAAATATATTCACACAGTCACATGTAATATGAAAATACTCCTATGAAACACACAGAACTTTAATCCCTCAGGTCTGAGCACAGTTTACTATCATAACAAGGAACCTCTTAGGCAGAGGATGTGAATGTGACCCAGGGTGCCGGGCAGCAAGTGGTGAGTAAAACCTGCTAAATATACAGTCTGTGGTACTCAGATATTAATAAACATGTGAAGTAAAAAAAAATAAGTAAAAACATTCACACATTCACATCACTAAGGAATTTTTAACAGAAGGGAAAATGTTTCAGAAATTTTCACATGAGGATAAACAGGTTTTTACTGTTTATTTTACTGTTTACCACTACAAGTAGCCTTATTATAAATTTATGTATTATTCTCATCTAAGCGCCTTTTCCTTCAGTACTTTTTTTTTTAAGCCGAGAAAACTCATTAATTTCCTTCAAGAATCTGACAAAAAGGAGTTACCTGTACACGAGGTAAGTAAGATCTGAACAATGTGTGCCATGGTAACCAGATGGAAAATGTGAAGGTCCCCAGTGCCAAGGCTGATCCCTGAAAAATCCTGACACTGCAGCGAAGGGAAGGCGAGAACCAAGCCCACCTGTACAGCAAACACAGGGTCAGACACAGCGCCTTTCCTTTCACTGCTGAACACAGTTCCATTTCCTTAAGGCGATCCCTTTGTGAACTCAGCTCCTCCCTTAAGAAATCTTTTGTTCTTAAAGGGTACACATGTTAGAAATTCCACTAGGACTGACTAAAGACAATTATTTAGAACATTATTATCTCATTTATTCAGAAACTCCCCTATATGCATTTATTGTTAATAATAACAAAAATAAAGCTTGAAATCTTTCTAGGTAGTAAGCAGTGGAAAAAACATGAATTTTGGACCCACAAAGATCCAGGTATGAAGCCCAGATTCTCTTAGGAGCCTTTTAGATAATTCTTCTGAGTCTTAGTTTCCCTGTTGGTAAACTGGAGATAATATATGTGTTTTTAATACCTTAGGATTAAACACCTTTGCAGTGAGGACGTAGAGACTAAATGAAGATGACTGTGAAAGCAGTCTGGTGCCCACTAAACTAGCCCCACTGTGAGTCTCCTGCCGCCTGTATGATGGTGTCAGTGGTGGGGGTTTTCAAAGGGGAGATGGGAACAATAACAATGGCTAATATTTACTAGGGACACATTGCTCTAAGAGCTCTGCATTGATTATCCCACTGAGTTTTGACACAATCATATCAGGTAGGTGTTAACTAACTTAAAGGCATAGAATCTGATGCCCAAACGTGATTAAGGGGGCAGCACCTGGGGCTGCTGTGTGTGGTGGTTCACTCAGTGTCCTGTGAAAGGGAGCCTGGTTGAGGTGGGGCTGAACTTCAACCATGCACTGCTTGGCCAGTGCTGATCTAGCACCAGACTGCACTTGCTCAGAAGACGTGACTTGCCCTAAATCACACAAAGGGACTGTCTGTTGCTAAGTAGTGGAACCAAAAGGCTGTATCTGCCCCAAACCACTGTATGGGTTGGCAGCAGCCCTTACATTACCAGTGTTATTTTTACTTCTTTATTGTAAAAAGCATAGAGAGGTTACGGTACTGACCTCAGCCACAAGGCAAAAATGAGAGAGACTGGATTAGACACTCAAGTCAACTCTCTCAACTAGATTCCTTGATATTTTTTTTTAAAGTATCTTCAGAAAAGAATTATACTCAAAAGTAGTTAATAATAATAGATGATAATTCTTTGTCTGCCTCTACATTACTCATCAAGTTTAAGATAAAGCTACGGAGTATGACAGAAGAATTTCAAACACAAATTATAAAATACCCACCAATAAATGAAACATGTCGATATCTAATATGCATGGAAGGTCTCTGTGGTTGTCACCAGGCACCAATGCTGATATTTAAAGAGAAATACAAGATCATATTTTATATATCAATGTAAGTATTAAATTATTTTTAACATGCACATAACCTAGCTTGAATTTATTTTTTGCAAGCTATATATGAATTTATAGCTAGAACCTGCATATAAGACAAAACAGTATTACCAAAATATTTTTTCATAGTGGAGGGAAGTTTCATTACTAAAAACAAAATTACAGAAGATGAGAAATTACCATAACACATATAGTACAGGTATTAATACTCACATGCAAAAAGTTTACAAAAGTGTCCTTGGACCACTGAAAGTGACACCACTGTCCAATGTGCTCCAGCAAATCTTGTTAGTGACCTGAGACAGTCATCCTGAAATAGAGGCTGACACAGTTAACAAAGAAGCCAGCATATGAAGTAGTTCTCTTCTAGGAATGCTCGTTCAAAGCACAGCTAGTTGAAGTACAGTTGGAAGCACAATGAAATCTCTAGATGGTATGGTACTGAATCTTATGACATTTTTACTGACATGTCTCTAACGTGAAATGAATGGAATAGAAAATATCTAATTGTATGCTGAATAAAACAAAGTTATCTCCATGCTGCTAGTTCTGTATGGAAAAGTTAAGAAGGATACATGTGTCAAGATAGTCAGTAAACAGAGAAGAGACTCTCAGGAATGTGAAGCAGCATTTCTTTGTATTTAGTCTAAAGAAATACACTAAAATCTGGGAAATACTCCCAATACTGGGGAAACTTCATGGAAGATGGCTGTATAAAATCAGCGTGTCAGTAAACATCAAAAACTATTATGGGGACTATGTAGCAACAATGAGAAAACTTTAAAGTGAAGAATATAGTAGGAACAAAACTACATGTAAATATCTATTATAATAAAAGTATAAACATGCTAATGAAAAAAGACAAATGGGTGACTGACTTAAGTTTTCTTCCTACTTCTCTGTTTTCTAAATTTTCTATAATGTTGTTTGGTTCAGTAGATATTGAGGAACTACCATAGGCTAGTCTTGGTTTTGAAGATCTTAAAATGAAAACTCAGTCCTCCCAACCGCTTCTGTCAAGGAGCTCATAGCTTTGAGGGTGGGAAGGGAAAGAAAAGCGGGGGTGGGGACAACTAAAGGAGACAGGATCCCAGATGAGCGATATCCCACTCATGGCTCAGAAGTTTTCCAGGGAAGACAAAGCTTGAAGAGCTTCTTAAAGAGGAGCTGTCTGCTTTGGGCACTTGAGCAGAGGCAAAAGTCTGGAACTAGCATCTGGGGATCAGTATTGATTCTGCAATCCTGGACAATGGATATGGAGACTGGCACGAGGTGAGTGATAATGGAGAAATAACATTTAAGACATATGATTGGCGTTACTTTTTGGAGAACCCCTCTGAGAGTATGTTAGGAGAAAGTGAGATTCAGGGTAGAGAATCTTATTAACATTATTATACAATTACAATATTAATCAATAACATTACTAATTAAATTAATAATAATATATTGTATAATTATAAATATAATTCATTATATTATATATTGTTATAATAATATTATCATTATGATTATAATAATCTTATTATTATGGTTATTATTATTATAATAATCTAGGCAAGAAAAGATACAGGGTTGAACCAAATAAATTGAATAGGACAAATAAGCAGGAGAGGAATTCAACAATCTCTGCTGATCAACCGGACATGAACATCCAGACCAAATGATGCATCCAAAAGTACCTCCAAGATTCTGGCCTGGTACCTGGATGGACAGTGGTGATATTAACTAAGACACTGAATATAGGAAGAAAAATTAAGCTGCAATGTTCAATTTGAGGTGCCTTTAGGAGATCCAGGTGAGAAAAATAAAGCAGGCAATATGGTAACAGATCGGGCTTGGAGATATACAGGTGGGAATCACTTAGAAGTAACTGAAATCAGAGTCATAGACAGGGCTGACCAGGGAAGAATATCATGACTGAGTCATGGGCCAAACTCTGGGGGTTTAAAATAATATTTATAGGACAAAGGAGGGAAAGAAGATGGAGAAGAAGCTGCCAGAAAGATAGGGAGAAAACCAGGAATGTCATAGAAATCAAGAGGGGGGGGGGGGGGGGGGGGAAGATAAACCACCTTACGGAGGTCCTTTATCATCTGATATAGGAGACAAAGATCAATGAAGATGAAAAGTGGAAGTCAAAAAAATAGAAGTTTGTCCTAATGGCTATATACTATATACTTCAAAAAATTAAATTTTTCTTAGTAATTTCTCATAGAAAAATAAACTTAGATAAAATATTAGCAAATCAAACATAATGCTACATTAAAATGCCACTCTACCTCAGTGGCTGCCAGCCTTTCTGAGGACAATTCTTCCCCAGGCAGGGCTGGCAGGGTGAGGCAGGGACGGACGGTTCACAGGTAACGCAAGTGACGGCAAGCGGCGGAGGAAGCTTTGCTCGCTTGCCTGTATTCCCCTCCTGCTCTGCTGCCCGGTTCCTAGCAGGACCGGGACAGTTCGCAGCCGGAGGTTGGGGACCCCTGCTCTACATGACCAAGCTGGGATTATTTCAGGAATGCAAGACTGACTGGAATAACAATCAATATAAACAGATTACACACAATCATATTAGCAGAGAAATAGACAGAGTGCCAAAGAGGTAGTGTGAAGTATATAGAATCTAGAAAATGTAAGAACTGCCTTAAAAACCAGACAAAATAACCTCTATTTTATACATTTGTGACCGCCTTATCAGCATATTTATCAACTCTTTATTTATTACAGCAAAAAAATGTAATAGTCAACACTGATAGTCACATCCTATCCATCACATATCATAGCTAAGACTACAGTAAACTGCTGTTCTACTGATTTACTATAAAAATACAATTCAGGGCAGTTTTAATACCAGGGCATACTCCTAGATATTCCAACTTAATAAGTCAAAGTGACCCAGGTGTCTATATTTTTAAAAAACTCCAAAGATCGCTCTTATATCAGTGGTTCTCAATCCTGGCCTCGGGCAAAGCTTTTAAAAAATATTAATGCCTGGGGCCCATCTTCAGATACTCTGATTTAACTGACCTGAAGTAGGGCCTAGGCATTTTTAAAAGTTCCTCAGGTGATGTTACACAAATAAAATTACATGCACTTTTACAACTGTAAGTTTGAACAGTAAGCAGCAGATGAAGCTGATACGAGCTACACGGTAAAAATGAGCAAGCTTTAGCTGTATATTCCTTCACTCTTCTAGACATAACTCTGTTCTGACATTAATTTGTATTTATTTACACACTGCTTACAACAGGTAGTCAACTGTGGTAGAGGATATGTTCTGTTCAGTATTTCCAACTATAGAACTAAAAACTCAAGAACAAGCACTTTGTTTTTAGCTTTTCTCCCCATCTTTTTGCGTGTTTAACCAAGAGAGATGAAGTCTATTTAAACGAAAAATCATGAAAAATTAAATTACAAACATTATTGCTTCAATACTGTTAAAGAAAATGGGTTTTACCACAAAAGGAATGAATCTATGCTTAAATAACCATTACAGGTTTTTTGGATTAAAAAGAGCAGAACAACCTAGTTTCTATTTTCCCATTCCATGGATCCAGTAAACTGATAACTTACCAGTCTACAGGGCAAGGGACCAAACAATGGTTTATCTTCATCACTTAAAATTCTTTCTGTGGTTAAAAATAGTAAAGATGATAAATTTTATGCTTTGTATACTACAAGTTTTTAAAAAAGTAAAAAAAATTCTTTCTGAAGAAAGCATAATATTGTCAGGTTTTGAAATCTTTAAGTCATTTCACAAGAATTAATTGTGCATGAGAAGTAAAAGTGAAAACACATTATTTTAACTGACTAGAAGCTATAACCACCACTGAAATGAGTGCTCTTGTGGCTGTGGTTAATTTATAAACTGTCAATCTAATATTTTGTCAGTATACTACATTTCCTGCTTCAAAGTTTTTATATTATTGCTTAAGAATGTTGCCCACTTTAAATCTGCACACAACTCATGTCAATGTATACTTTAGATTTAAAGACACAATTCTAAATCTCTTACCTATGCTTTGGATGGTATATGCACAACTACCCCAACACATTATGGGCACACGGGGATCCTCTTCATTGGGATGAACTTTTAATCCCACCTTATAAGTAGCAGTTCCAAATGTTGCTAGCATTTCTTTTATGCTTTCAGAATAAGGGTTCCTGAAGTGAACATGCATAGCATTAGCTCAAAACAATGTGCTCACATCAATCAAATGGCTCAGTTTCTTAACAGCTATCTTCTATGTTGGAATTGAACCCCTTAAACTATCTAAAGACAGTTGTATGAAAAGGGGGAATTAAAGACATGCAGACAGCCCCTGCCTGAGAGTAGTTATGTTCATCTTGGGTTGCTGGTGATGAGGCACAGGCCCAAAAACAAGGTATTAGGCTGAAGGTCTACATATTGAACTACAGGACCCTTGACCTCTTTCTCCATCTCAAGAACATCGCAATGTATACCCACTGCCATAGATTTTAGTTTCTCCAGTGATGAATCCTCATGGAAAAGCCAGCTTTACACAATGACATTTTCAGGGTCCCAAGAAAAAAAACCTGATAGGGGTTTGATCTCCTCACTGTGAGGCTCATCTGTCAGGAAGCTCCAACCTGCCCACCAGGTATCCACTGAGCTTCCTAGTGATTTATTCTTGAACAGTCACCCAAGGACCAATAAACATTTAAGGAAAGAATCACACATCAAAGAGAGAAACATCAAAACAGAGAAGCAAAAAAAGGAACTCAGGGAAGGAGAGACAGTGCAGAAAATAGCAAATTAATTAAGAAAAAATTAGGGGATCAGTCCAAGAGGGCCAACAATGAGCTAACAGTAGGGCTAGCTCAAAGAACAGAAATCCAAGAAGAGAAAATTATCGAAGGAAAAACCAGAAAAAATTCCCAGAACTGTAGGATATGAATCTTTAAAGAGCCTGTTGAAAACACACATAGCGAAATGAATGAAGATTCACACACCAAGGAATATCACAGAGAAATTCCAGAACACTGGGAATTAATAAGATGACCACAACAGTTTCCAGAAGTAATAAAATTACAAAGGAATAGGAATCAGGTGTCAATTTCTCAATGGGTGCTACAAGTTAGTAAAATAATGTGTTCAACATTTAGATGTGAAATAACTTCTAACCTATAATTCTATACCCAAACCATCCATCAAGCATGTGGATACAACAAATGTATTTTCAGACATGGAAAATTTAACATCCAGGCACCTTTTTTCAGAAATCTGCTGAGGGATGCAACGTGAGGGAGTAAATGAAGAAAGAGAAGGATACAAGATCCAGCAAACAAGAGGAGCATGGCCAGGGCGAGTGTGAGGGTAAGAGTTGTGCCCTGTCCTGATTGGTGCGAGAGGACAGAGGCTGTGGGAGGAGGGCTTCAGGGAAGATGATCATCAGATGGATCAAGCACTAATAGCCACTGCTAGGCATCTGACAGACCTACAACAGCATTTAGGAAAAAAAGTATTATATACACAGAAAACCAAGTACATGAAAAAAAAAAGGTAATTATTAATCACAGGAAAACAAAATTGTAGAAGAAAGATTTATCACACAACTTATCAGTATTAACAATTATAACGTAAAAATTGACAAATTATTTAACCAAAAATTGTAGAATAACTCTACAGGAAGATTGGTGAGGAGTAAGTGAATAGGGTCGAGGTAAAAGCTGAATCCTACATTACTAGTCTCTGTAAAGATACTTTAAAAAAAAAATGATGAATCAAGACACAGTTGATTAAGCATCTTAATTAGAAATAAGGAAGTAAATAGTAGAAAGAACAAAATGACAGGACTGGGGATGGGAAGTGGGTATGTGGGAGGCACATGATTGATGTTTATTCTATTTAAACCTTTTAGTACTATTTTTGCCAGCTTCCCAGGTGGCACAGTGGTAAAGAATCCGCCTGCCAATGCAGGAGACACAGGTTTGATCCCTGAGTCAGGAAGATCCCCTGGAACAGGAAATGGCAACCCACATCAGCAGAAGTACTCTTGCCTGGGAAATCCCATGGACAGAGGAGTCAGGTGGACCATAGCCCACAGGGTGTGAAGAGCTGGATGTGACTGAGCATGCACATATGCACTACTTTTGCTGAGATATTTAGTATGTGCCAGGCACAGCTGCCAGGTAACTTTAAGGGCATTATGTCACTTTACCACACATATGAGGTAGATACTATTTTCTTCCCTTTACAGATGAGGAAATTGAGTTAGGTTAAGTGATTTGCACAAAGTGGCACAGCTAATCAACAGTGGTGCTGGAACTGAACAAATGCAGTCTAGTTCTAAAATCTGGGCTATACTTTGTAACTTACTGGCTATGGGGTAAAATGTGGCCAACTACGGTGTTGGAGAAGACTCTTCAGAGTCCCTTGGACTGCAAGGAGATCCAACCAGTGGATCCTAAAGGAAATCAGTCCTGAATATTCATTAGAAGGACTGCTGCTGAAGCTGAAACTCCAATACTTTGGCCACCTGATGCGAAGAACTGACTCACTGGAAAAGACCCTGACGCTGGGAAAGATTGAAGGCAGGAAGAGAAGGAGATGACAGAGGATGAGATGATTGGATGGCATCACCAACTCGATGGACCTGAGTTTGAGCAAGCTCCGGGAGTTGGTGATGGATAGGGAAGACTAGCGTGCTGCAGTCCACGGGGTTGCAAAGAGTTGGACACAACTGAGAGACTGAACTGAACTGATGGGGTAAAATAAGGCTGAAAACACTCTGGTTTTGACCCAGAGTTACTAAGAGGTTGGTGGGTCTGTAAATAGAAATACAGAAGTCAGCAGGAAGCATGGACTTTGGTGAGGAGGCTGAGCAGCTTGGATTTAGATGTACTGATGAGGCGCTATCAAGGAGAGCCAGATAAAGGGGTGCAGTAGGCAGTCAGCAACACCTAGAAGTTTGTGAGAATTAAACATGACGTGTAGGTCTTAGGTGTTTATCAGTATTCCTGCACTAAGTCTCAGGATTTATTAAGATCAATGTCCTGTAACATTCTGCTCCCCTACTTGACAAGTTTATATTCTTACTAATGGCTAATTTAATTTTTCATTTCAAGTGGGCCAAATGTAAAACGGATAATATACTCACTTAGGATGAAAATCAGGCCTAAATCCTTCAGGAAGGTGCAATTCATCCATATTTTCTAAATTCTTTGATGAGGCAGTAACTACAGAAACAAGCATTTTATACTATTATTCTTCAGTCCACAATATTTCTATAAATTTCAGCCATAAATTTCATTCTAAATTAAAACAGGAAAAATTCCCATAATGAAAACTGGTGTAATATACATTCAAAGCATGAAAAGTACTATTGCTCTGGATGAGCTAGACACCTTTCTCAATTATTGTGCTTCTCCTGATAGTGCAACCACTGGAAGAGTACGCTGTTTTGTTTCCTTAAAACCAATGGTATAAATTCTGCTCAGCTCACTTTCCCTCAAGGTCAGAAGTGCAGTGCGTACCTATCAAACTTGGGAAGGTTTTGGTAATGCCAACAATAAAGTGAGTCAGCCCATGGAGAATAAAGCCAGCTCTTCGATACTCAGTTACATCTCCCCCACCCCCAGAAGCTCTTCAATAAAATGGGGGAAATAAGTGAGAAGTATCTATCATAAACTACACATGAGCTTGTGTGTTCAAGGAATAAGGAGTAATGTAGCAGTTTCAAATTTAGTTCATAAAGAAAATTTGAGTAGTCAAATTTTAAAATGTGAGGTTTCACTTTTAAAATATTTTAGAACAATTTATTCTGGAACTGTATTTTCCAATGGTCTCAGATATTACGGAAAAATGAAAGCAGGTTATCAGAACTTACTAGGAGTACTTTCTTCTTTCCTAAGAACCTGTAATGCTTTTATTTGCTGAGATATTGTTCTAATCCACTGAGTCAGATTTGGTTGGTCTGAAAAATTTAACCTGCTAGAAAAGATTATAGAGAGTGTTTAGTATTCTGCTGTTGCTTAGTTTAAGATACAAAAAGACTCCTTAAATCATCACGGGTATATTTTAAACATACTTCAAACATTAAAATACTAAAACAACCAAAAAAACTTGGGGAAAATTTGTTACTTTTAAAAGTTAGAATAGGTATTTATTTGTCAATGGAAATGAAAATGTACTATTTGTCAATATGATGCTACTAATTATTAGCATAAAATTGAGTTATTTGTCAAAAATTTCACTTTTTTAGTACCAGAATTTGCCAGTATTTCTTGAATATCACAACCAACACATCATGGATACTATTTATTGAGTGCTTATTATGCGGCAAGCATCTAATTATGTTGCAAGCATTTCACAGTATTAGATTTAATCCTCAAAATTTTCTTAATAAAATAGGTTATATTATTGTCCCCATTTTACAGATGAGGAAACTGAGGTTTTGAGCTATGTAACTTGACTAAGGCTGTATATGGGACAGATGTGGCATTCAAACCCAGCTACAACAGACACTATAGCTTGTGTTCTTAACAAATGTGCCATAACTGACTCTCCTGGGAAAAAAAGCCAAACCTGAACCACAGAAGTGATTTTTTTCTCTTTACACGCAAGATAATTCTATTCTTAATCTTACAGTGACTAATTTCTTTATCAGTTCAAATGCAGATATAAGTCAGCACGATGATATTTCTTTTCTGATTAAAAAAGCATGAGCTTACATCATATCTAATGGTATTTTAAGAGCATTTTGTGGTAGCATAGACTAAGACACCATAGTTTGAACTCTTAAAATTGAAGAGAAAAAAACCGACTCTGCTTTAATTTAAACCCAAATAGTAGCATACAAATAAAAAGATGACTCATATTCATAAAACTTAACATATACAAAGGTCAGGTTTAAATAGGAGATACCATCAACTTCATATTTTAAAGGAATATGATCATGAATAACTAAAAAGCACACTAGACATCATGAAACAACAAAATTTTTACATTTTAAATACACTTAACAGATATTCACTTTTTGGCCCAATTCTTTAATTGGCCAGTAAATTGCAAAAAATAATATTTAATTGTTAGTATGCTCAATAAGGTCAGTTTGTGCTGTCGCTCCCCCCACTGATTTATTGAGTGTCTCAAAAAAGTATGAAGGAGATATTTAAAGCAGGGTCTTAAAAATAAAGGAGACAGTTTTCATGAACCCATGGGAATTTTATATCCTTTATAGTGTTTATGGGTGACCAAGAAACTTAAATTTTGGTCTAATCCTTTCTAAAAACTAAAATTGTATCTCATAGGTCAGCTGGAAGAAATGACTAAATAAAAAGTTTGGAAAGTACCTGGAAAACATGCATTTACCTAGAGTGATATCCTCACCCAGCTGTGGTTTATCATTTCATTACCTTCTAAAGGAAACTACTTCTTTAATATAAAGGTTTTATGAGCCAAAACTTACCTATGAAAAACATTTCTTGGAGGAAGCAGCAGAGGAATAACAGTATTACTCAAGCATTCACAAAGGGGACAAAGGAATTCTCCATTTTCTACATCATAGCTTGTATGTAAGCGTAATCTCTGTTGCCTTCGCTGTTCTTTAGCTTGAACGGAATCAAAATACCTTCACAATTAGAAAACACGAGGTATCAAAAACAACGGCAATTTTTTTTTTTTAATGAGAGCCACAAGCTTCAACATTTTGTTTCCACAAAACATCTAAAAATTAAAATTTTAAAATGACCTCAATTATTTTTAAAAGTGATACTTTAAGTTGTAGTAAATAGCAAAAAGGGCTAAGAGTTCTAAAACAGGAGAATTAAAAAAAGATTGCCTTGCAAACCAGTCATTCACCAAGTAGCATACTTCTTGGTCCTAGTGCTCTGTGGTTTCTCCCCCAGGACTAGAGCTGCTTACTAGGGGTGGTTCAGGACAACTCTATGAGCAGAGTACTAGAATAATGGCACTTCTGCTGCTAGAGAACATAGAAAGCACCAAAATAGAGTATTGAAGTTATTCCATATTAGCTCAGGGAGCCGTGACAATCTTCAGAGGTAACTAGGCAAGTGCTAGCATCTTCAGAATCAAGAGCTCTTCACCCTGGACCCGAAGAAAGACATTCTTCTCGGGTTTATACCACTGTAAAAATGCTTTTCTTCATCTAGTCTGTTAGATTTCCCATATTAAAAAATACAGATCCCTAAATTAAAAATTATATTTGATATACTATGAAGTTTCTAAGTCACTCCTTTAAATGTACTGACAAAGTAAATTAATTTTAATTGTTATTTGTTAGGCAGTAATAATGAAGTCTTTTTTCCTTCTGACGAGTTTAGTTCTCTCCCCTTTTTCTAGAATGTAATTTCCTTTATTAAAAAATTAAATTTTAAGTCTTTGGGTAAGCTTCTCTTGACTAATATTAAGAATATAAATTACCTTTGCCAACAGTGTGCATGCATAATGTGTCCACAGCTACCAGTATGTATTCCACAAGACAGATCAGGGTGCATGAATAATGGATCATAATTTTCTGCATTATAAAACAAACAGAAAACATAAGAGAAAACTCAAGCATTTAATATTCCTATACAAATGTACAAACTTAAATTGTGAAATCCTTACTAAGAGCTTGTAAACTTCAAATGAAATGCTAGTTTATTCCTTTGATATACCAATAATTTATGCAAGACCCTGGATTATTTAGAATACAGGACTCTCTAATTTTCATTACCCTGAGCAAATTAATGAAACTTCCTTGAACTGTGACCTGAAACTGGAATCCTGTTGTTGTTGTTTAGTTGCTCAGCTGTCTGACTCTCAGCTGTGTCCGACTCTTTGCAACCCTATGGACTGTAGCCCCCTGTAGACTTCTCTGTCCGTAGCATTTTCCAGGCAAGAATACTGGAGTGGGTTATCATTTACTTCTCCATGGAATTCTGTATTTAAGTACATCTAATTTTTTGAACACATCACATTTTTAGGGCACTAAGAGACTCCTATTTCTCACAAATGATGGAGCTGTCTTTAATGCCCTCAGGGCAGCTGGGTCACAATGATCTCGAACAAAAAATATGTCCTGGCAGCAGTGGGGCGCTCCCTAGAGGAGATTCTTCTTAAGGACACTCATGCAGAGAAGAGCCACAATTACTGTAGGAGTCAAGGTGCAGCAAAATACCAGGACAGCAGCCCAGACCAGAGTAGGGAAAAGGGGGTAAGGGGGTAATTCACACAGTTTTCTGCTCTGGCACTAATTTTTATATTCAAAGGAGATGAAAAATGAAGACAAACATAAAATGGCCAGCTGGCTTCTTTGGGAATTCTTGGAATTCTCTACATAAATTAGCATAATTTTAGAAATTCTCTAACAGTAAAATTACTTGTTTCAATTTGCTTTATACAATAGAATAAAGAAATTTCACAGCATAAAGAAAATCTTTAGTGATCTAAACTGTGAAAGACTTAAAAAAATCCACTTATGGCCAGTCAGTTTTTCCAAGCAGGTAACAAACTAAATACAGGTGATAACTTTATCTTCAGCCTAGAATGAAATCTGTAAACCATCTAGTACAAATGGTCATTTCTTAAGATGAAGCAGACCAATCTTTCTTAACTAGGGGGCTTGAGAGCCATACTCTGAAGACTTTCCATGTAGAGAAAAGGCAATTTTACCAGTGGGCTCTCAAACTTCCTTCTAGTCATACAATGTGAAAGGCACTGGCTAAACAAGTGCCTTGGAAATTAAGACACAGTTCTTGCTCTCACGAAGTTTACTGGTATCACTGAGGCACATGCACATATAAACAAACAGAAGAGCAGAAACACAAAACTATCTATGGTGGACACAGAAGGTATAGCCCAGACGCCCCTGCAGGTGTGAATGACTTACTCCATCAGCTGTTAGAAGAGGGCACTCAACTGTTATCCCTCTTTAAAAGACTTTGCTCAGGGTCACACTGCTTTGCTCAAGGTCACACCTCTTTCCAGAGGCAGCCCACAACCAGTTTGTTATCAGTGTCAGGGTATAAAAAACCCACCCCCTTAGCGCAACCCAGGACAGCTTTGAGCTCTATCTAACTCCAGAGCGCCTATGGGGTTGGCTAAGGACTTCTGGGGACTGTATCATAGCTCAACTTCTCCCTCTGGCCAAACCTGCTTCCTTCCCCTCCATTCCATAGACACTGATTCCAAGACTCCTGAATGATGTCCTGCACTACATGGCAGTCTCGATCTCGGTAATCTAAATGAGAATCTGGCTCAAGGACTGCTTCTCCCAGGGCTGGCTCACCAGGACTTCACCCTGGGACCACCCATGAGAAAAAAGAATCACTGTCATTTCAGTGTGTCAACTAATCACTGGAACTTTACAAGTGTGAAGAATGGGAAAGACTGCTGTTAAGTACCAAAGTATGTTAATGTTTTACCACAAAGGACAGCTTTCCTTTGAATCCCTGCTATTTATCAGCTGTGTACTTCAGGCATGATACTTAACGCACTGGAACGTTTCTGCATTTGCCAAGTGAGGAATTCCCACCCAAGTTACCTGCCCAGGATACCAGCAAGCCTACAGAGTTATCATCAGATTAATAAATTCTGTATGTCACTTACCATACTAAGTGGCAGTCACTATTAACAGGGCAGATGAGGACACAGCTATGACTCACCTGGATCCTGAATGAATTTACTTCTGTCTTTTGATAACACTGTTGATCTCTGCACAAACGCTGCCAGGACCATTGCCTTGCTTTCTGCGCTCACCTCTTGCTCTTCCTGACACAGGATACAGGTGACACACTGTCTCTGTTCAGGGGCCCGGGTCTGTGCTGGGCCCAGGGCTGTAAGAGTCGTATCTGAAACCACAGGGCTGCAACAACAAGGTTATGAGAGGAATTAACGAGCCTGAGAAGTTTCTACAGAACCAGAGAACAGTAGATTTTAGGTATGTACATATTTAAAACAGTTTTGGTGACTTGATTTGAGAGACAAAGTCTTCATATGTATCAAAATTATCTCCTTCAATCCTCACAGCAATCCAATATGTAACACAGAAGCCAGATGCTAAGTTAGCTAAGCCTAGTGTACTCATTCATTTATGAGTGTCAAGGGTCTTTTCAATAACTTACATTTTAAGCACACACAGGAATTACCCTATCAATAGTCAGAGACATGCTCATAATTATATGCTAATTAGCTCAGATTTCTAAAATTAAATCCTCTAACTACAAGGCCACACAATTTTTCTATCAACTCTTCTAAACTACTCTAGGACTAAGTGTACTTATAAAGAAAAAAAGGGGCTTCCCTGGTGACTCAGCAGTAAAGAATCTCCCTGCCTTGCAAGAGACACACGAGATGTAGGTTTGATCCCTAGGTTGGGAAGACTCCCTGGAGAAGGAAATGGCGACCCACTCCAGTATTCTTGCCTGGAGAATCCCATGGAGAGAGGAGCCTGGCGGGCTACAGTCCATGGAGTCACAGAGTCAGACACAACTGAAGTGACTTAGCACACACACATGCATGCAAAAAGAAAAAAAAAAAACCAAACCAAACATCTTCCTCAATTGAGAACCACTGGTCAAGCGTTTCAAAACTTGTGCTTAATTTTTACCCATTATCAAGTACAGCAGAGACAGAGGAATCCAGTTCTGATGTCTGCTGAAAGAGTTCTTTGTTCTCATCAATAAAGTGCCGCTGCATCTCAGACATCTGAGCCATGATCTTTTCTCTGCGCAATCTGGCAATCTCGGCTTTTCTCTTCCTCTCAGCTTTGTCTTTGTCTCTCGAACTCTGAAATTACACTTCATTTAATTAGACCACTAGAGGCTAAAGGCACATTTTTTCCCCCAAAGGAGAAATATTTTTATTGTAAATACTAGATTTTTAATCAACATGCTAAAGAAAAAAAAAAAAGCAGCCCAAAAGATTGCTACAAAAATAAACAAATAGTGCCAAAATTTCTTTGCATTTACATGTTTGTGAATAATATCAACTACCAACTTACTGCAGATAAATTTAATTGCTTAAAGTGAGCTTGCCATATCTTTTCAGTATTACCACACTTTACATCTTATACCTCTTCCATTATGGTTCCTTCTGTCTCTGCCACAGGACTGGTGGATGAACTCTCCCTTAACTTCTTAATAGCATTAAAAGTCTATGAAAAAAAGTATCAGTTACTCTGAAGCTACGAAACATTCTAAAATTTAAAGATAAACATTTAATATTTTTCACAAAAAGCAGAGTGATGTAGGAAACTTTACCTTTAATATCCACCTAATCATATCTTTGTGGACTTCTAGGTAGGGAGCATTCTGCAGTGTTTCCAGCATAGCTAGTATACTAGGTGAGTTGTTTGGAGCCTCACCAGGTTCTAAGGTGGAAGAAAAAAACGGGCATGTGAGCATCAGTTAAGACTTCATAGTGCTTACTACCAGGCACAAGAAGATAAAATGAAATTGCTTATAATACTGGCCCATCATTCGATTACAGCTCTTTTAGAAATTTTCAATACTTCTCAAAATGTGACATATTTGTGTTTCACAAACAAGCTGTTAACAACTAGAACACTTTCATCATTCAAAAACTGATGTCTTACACCATATGATTATTTTAAGATAGCCTCTAGCAAAATTCAATAAAAACCCAGCTGAAAGGTCTACCTGAGATTTTACAAGTCTAGGAAAATGAATTAGATCTGATAAGTACACAGGCTCTGATAAAATACACAGGTAAATACAGATAACGTCAGAAATCTGGATTCAATATAATCTACTTAAAACCTGTATGATCAAATAAAAGAGGTTATATTACACTTAAAAAATGACTGATATGCTGAGTTAGTTTAGTAAAAGTTGTATACATACTCGATATCTTCTGCGTGAAGGTAAATGTTATGACATGCTCCTCCATGACATTCTCTAAATGCTGTTTTTCTTCTTGTAGTGCCATTCCAATTAAATGTAATACCTAAAATACAAGTACATAATTTTGTAAGAAATAACAAAAAAGAATCCACTACTGAAAAAAGAGAAATCAAACTATTAAAGATTAAGTATAGTAAAAAATAATTCAAAGTACTAATTTTTATTAAATCCAACTCTAAAGTTCATTTTCTAATAAAGAATTCCCAGCAAGGAAACAAAAATTTCTATTTCAGCTAGGAAGAAAATTCAATTGCAAATTCTTAAGGTAAGTTAAAATTACTAACAGCTGTGACTAGCAAGTCATATAATTTTCAGTTTTATTCCATCCCTACACTACAGTCTTAAAAACCACTGATTCTAAGGATCAGTGGTCAAATAATTAGACTTGAAAGCATCAATCATGTAATTATCTAATCTATAATACTAGTTTAGTTTTTCTAAGGACTAAAAATCATCTCAGAAAGAGACATACTTTTATCTCTAATGCCACATCATTTATAAAGCTGTTCAGCATACCTGATGAAAAATTCATTGCTAGACTTCTAAGAATATAACGACACTGAATCTGTCTCATTTTTATTGTTCTTTACCCTGCTCCCCAGTTTTCGAAGGAGATACGTGTGTGGTGTCTCTGTATCTTTCCCTATACATAGGGCTGCTGTGATTGTCAACACACTTGGAAGAACATTAATGTGAACGACATAAAGCCAATGTACACAGAAGATAAATCATGTTCATTCCTCTTTTCTCCATTTTCCCACAACTCTTTTGCTCATATAATACTGATCGTCTCCAGTATACCACAACTCCATGCTTTTACATTTTATTATTTTTAACTTTTGTAATCTCATTTTATTTTTTTGTTTAAACTTTTTATTATTGGGGTATAGCCAATTAACAATACTGTGACAGTTTCAGGTGAACAGTGAAGGGACCCAGCCGTACACACACGTATCCATTCTCCCCTAAAATGCTCTCCCATCCAGCCATGAGGGAAGTATACATATACAAATATCTTAGCCAGTGAGATACTTGAGGCTGCTGAGACAACGGGAAATAGCTTTGAAGGAAGGCTCACCTTCATCTGAATTCTGGCTTCACTGCTTTGAAGCTACATGCCTTTAGGGAGTTCCTCTGAGCCTAACTTCATCATTTTTAAAATGGGAAAAAACATTAGCTTTCCTCTAGAGTTTTGAGGGTTACCAGTACAGTACATAAAAGTGCCTGGCAAGAATAGGCTAATTCTATTAACTGAGTATTAGTATTATCTTACTTTCTAGTTGAGTAACATGGACCAGTTAATTGACTCTCACTGAAACTTGCCTTCTTCATTTATACAGAAGAAAAACTATCTACTATCTACATAGGAGTACTATGTGAATTTAATGAGATGATAATTTATGAATGACTTACATTAAAGCTATAAAGTAAAATACAAAGGTTCTGAACTTGCCACTAATTAGCTATAGGACCGTAAGTCCCTGACTTGCAATTTCTTCAATTGCAAAATATAAGTATTAATGAACTCACAAGTTTTTAAAGAGAATTAAGTAAAAAACAAATGCACAGATAACACATTATACAAATATCAGACTACTGCATAAACAAAGACAGATCAGGACCAGTCAGTGAGAGGCAGATCTGCCAACAAGAGCTGGGTAATCACAACCACTGTGGTGTAAAAACATCTGCCAAGCTCTCCTTCTTATCCTCAGACACAAAAATAGAAACAAAATACTTTATTTCAAAGTAAGATAACACTACATTTTAACCTAAGTGTCCCATGTACAGATATTGAAAGAGTATTTTGTATTTTGGTTTTTACTACAAAACCACTGAAATATAAATAATACATGTCTTCAAACTTACCCTTTGCAGCATGGACTCAGACCAGATATGTCCACTATGTTCTACAGTCCACTGCAATACTGTCCTCATGATTAACAACATGACATCTGACTGCAAAATGTTAACCAGACTTGCAAACAGAGGACAGAATGGGGGCAAAACTGGAGGTGGAAGTGCTGAAAATAAATATATTATTGGCTTCTTTTGTAGAACACACTTTAAATCAAACCAAACCAAAAAACCTATGACCTTATTACACATGCTTTTGATAGCTTTCAAAGAATATTTTCATCTTAAAGATATATTTTACCTTCTCAGGTCAGTTAAATGAATAAAAGTAGCTCCATAAATAGCAGTAGTACAAAAGAAGGTCTTTCTTTTCCCTAGAAATATCTGAAGACCTGAGATAAAACCATTAACTCAGAGGTGACTCAGTACAATAGTATGTCTATATTAGCCTATATATTAGCCCTTTAAATGTTCATTCATTCAGAAAGCTTACATTTACATCTTTCACTTCACTAGGGATTATTATCATAGTCTATAGAAAACAAACTTTAACAATTAAGAGACTGACATGAAATTTTGGGAAAACATTAAAATACCTGTATCTTCTTTATTTTGTCTTTTCAATTTCCGTTGGGCTTCCTCTGCCTAATGAAAATGAATTCGGACAGAGAATAAGTAATATGAAAGAATTTAATATCCAAAACTACTGATATAAGTTAATTTTCGTCATACTAACTTCTGATTTTAGGAAATTTCTATCCTTAATTTTGTCATCACTCTAAAATTGATTTCCAGGTTAATTTCCCCATACACTAAGAGAATCCACCAAGTGGATTCTTTCTTGGTTTAAAATGCAGGGGAACATGTATCAACCAAAGTCAAAAAATTATTTAGGTTTGAGCTCTATCTCATGCATCAAAAATGAATAAACACTGCTATATATAAAACAGATAACCAACAAGGACCTACTACATAGCACAGGAAACTATATTCAATATTTTATAATAACCTATAAGGGAAAAGTATCTGAAAAACTATATATATATATAAGCTATATATAAACTATATATATATAAAAACTACATATATATAAAGGTTGAATCACTGTACTGTATACCTGAAACTAACATAACATTGTAAATTGACTATACTTCAAAAAAAAAAAATCAAGTAGTAAACAAAAGCTTCATGTTTAAGTTTTGTTTAATGCCATTTATTCAAAACTTATTTTTAAGAGTAAATTGCTAAAAGGCAAAATTTAACTAGTTAAATTCCATAAGTCACCATGGGAAAGCATAATGTTAGCACTAGCAATTCTGAAATGAGTGTGAAACAGGTTAACTGATTACCATACAGGTTGACGATGTGTCATCAAAAGCCAATAAAATACATACAATTAGATACGTGTAGGTACGTGTATAATTATATAGATCTCTTTTATGTACACACAAAATACTAAGGGGAAAACCCCATATGTTAAGTGGTGGTATTATAGGCAATCTGTACTTTCTTCTTTATACCTTTCCATATTTTCCAAATTTTCTACAATAAAAATGTGTCCTTTTTCAATCTGTGTGAAAAGCAGTACAAATTGTTTAGGAAAAAACAAAAACAAAAAAACTCCAAGCAAGCCCTTCCCAATATACTTTTTAATTTTCCCAATTACCTTGGACTGCTCTGCCCTTGAAAAGTGATAGAAATACAAATTGAACTCTTTGGCACACTCTGGTTTCAGTTCATACATGCCTCGTCCTGTTAATCCAGGTTTCCTTTGGGGAAGAAAAAATTCTTAAATCTCATATTCTGGACTTCCCTTGTGGTCCAGTGGTTAAGAAACCACCTGCCAATGCACGGGACATGGGTTTGATCCCTGATCTGGGAAGATCATGTTAACCACCAGGCAACTAAGTTTGTGTGCTCTTACTACTGAAGCCACGCTCTAGAGCCTGTGCTTCACAAGAAAAGCTACCACAGTGAGAAGCCTGTATACCCAGAGAGAGCCCATGCATAGCAACAAAGACCCAGGGCAGTCAAAAATAAATAAATAAATAATTAAAAACTCTCATACACTGCTAGTGAGTATAAGCTGGAACTACTTTCTGTGGATTCATTTGGTAATCTATATCCAAAGCTTTATGTGCATCCATTTTATCTAGCATGTCCACTGTGGGTTTATTCTAACTGGACACGGGAACATGATGATCACTGTAGTGACAACAATCTGAGGTCTAACAACAAGGGACAGGTAACACACATTATGCTATCTTTAGACAATTGAAAACTATTAAAAGTGATGCTAACTTCTATATTTTGACATGTAAAGATGTCTATGAAAAGTTCTACCAAGTGAGAAAAGCAAGTGTAATCTGAGTTGAGAGAATTTTTTTAAAAATCATTTACTTTATTTATATTTATTTTGGCTGTGCTTGGTCTCTGTTGTTACATGGGCTTTCTCCAGTTGCAGACAGCGGGGGCTGCTCTTAGTTGCGGTGTGCAGGCTTACCGCAGAGGTTTCTCCTGCTGCAGAACAGCGGCTCTAGGTGCATGGGCTTCAGCAGCTGCTGCACTTGGGCTCTAGATCACAGGCTCAGTAGTTGTGGCACACGGGCTTAGCTGTTCCATGGCATGTGGGATCTTCTTTGATCAGGGATTGAACCCAGGTCTCCTGCATTGGTAGGTGGATTCTTTACCACTGAGTCACCTGGGAAGCCCCTGAGAATCTCTTTTATAGTTTTTTTGATACTTCCCCTAAAAACACGTGTTGTTTTAAAATCAACAGAAATAAAGACACTGTCATTGAAGTGAGGAGCAAAGAAAAAGCAGGATTAAGAAACTGCCTCAACAACCTTAAGGGGATAAACTAGTTTATTGATTGGGTGACACACAGGACACCAAAGAAAGCATTATTTAGAGGCTGATCACAGCTCAGGCGGCATACTCAAATGGAAACAAAGGAAGAGTAATGCATTTACTTAAGATCAGGTTAATTTCAGCTATTTGAAACTATCAGCTATGAACACCTATTTTGAATACAATGAAAATTCTCATATATCTACTTTAAGTTGCTAAGCACAGGGCTAGATCATAAAAGGGAAATGTCAGTGAGAAATCTAGTTCAGAATCACATGTCTGAAAATGGTTGTCACTCTCTGAAAACAACAATTTTATTCTCACTTCCATCAAAGGAAACATTCTAAGAAAAATTAATGTATAAAATCAAATCAAATGTGAAAAAATAGAAAATAAACTCACTTGAAATGTGCAACTGCTTCAATCACACTCTCCATGCCAGTCTCTTTGTTCTCCTAAAGGTACAGGAAATAAACGTGTTTCATGTTAATAACAGTATCTGCTAGCAGTCTGAGCACTGTGCTTTTATCTCATTAAGCTTCATAGAGCAATTGTATAAAGGGAACACACTACTATCTCAGTTTCTACAGATTCCATAGGATTTCCATAGGAAACATGATTAATATGCAGTTGGGGAAATTTACTTGGTAAGCTAACATTCATTCAGACTGATACAATTAAAAACAAGTCATCATATGAAATCAAGGTGACAGCTTTCAAAAGGAATGAAATAAAAACACAAAGTATACATAACATTTAAACAAAATTTATATCTTTGTAATATTTTCTGAAATAGCTACACTAATTTCTTATCTATCTTCATTAAAACACCATTTTCCAAATCATATCTTATTTGTGGCAAGATGTTACCCAGGAATTGTGTGGGAAAAAAAGAATTCTCTGGTCAAAAATGTTTGGTAGATATAGATGCCATCACTCTGTACAAGGTATTTGCATTTTAAAATGCTTTTTAAATTTAATTTCTTTCTATTCTAACATCTAAGTGAAACTATAATTGTTCCCTCATTTCCTGCATTAAAAAGTACCTGCATACATAACTAGAAATGGAAATGGCAAAAGCAGCCCATTAACAGAGACCTAAAAAAAAGTACATGTAATTTTTATTCTTAATAGATATTTAGTGATATTAAAAATTATTTTTTTAGGTGTGATAACTGGCAAATGCACAGGTTTTTTCTAAAAGCTTGTATCTTTTGGATCAACCTTGGCCCTCCTGACATTTGGACTAGATAGGTCTTTATTGTGGGAGCCTGTCCTGTACTGTAGGATGTTTAGAGTATCCTGGCCTCTGTTGAATGGATGCCAGGAACACACACACTCAGGCCTGAGTAGTGACACTGTCAAATGGTCCCCTCCCGGGGCAGGAGGTGCCAAAATTATCCCTGGTTGAGAAACACTATTTTAGATATATACAATTCTATTTATAGATGAAATGGTAAATCTGGTAATCTCTACAAAATAACCCAGTGAGGGTGTAGGGATTAGTGATTAGAGTAGAAATAAGATTGGTCATCTGGTGAAACTGGTGATGGGTTCATTATACTATGTTCTCTATTCCTATAAATGTTTGAAGTTTTTTAAGTTTGAAATAAGACAATGTTTAAGAGAAGTATTACAATGCCACAAGTAAAGGTTTAAATCCTCGAAGAATGAAAATTAAGGTTCAGAGTTCTAATCTATGTTTCAAATATGGGAAAACATTTTGAAAAACCTTTCCCAACTGTAATCGGGGTTTCTAAAAAGCCCAGGGCTGAAAAACAGGTGGTAGAGGACCTTAAGATTCTAGAAGGAAAAACAGCTACAACTGATCTACGAATGCCCACATGACTGTTAATTTACATTCACTAAAATGAGAGGAATGGCTTAGGAGGGTCTTTGGATGCTTTAGAAGGAAAAAACTCTAGCAAACTTTAGTTTATTCAACATAGTTGAGTAGGTATTTCTAGGTTATAAAGTGTTATCTCTACCCATCACAACTTTGTAATCAACAATCCTTCTTTAACGGATATGTAAATTCAGTTCTAAGGAACACATTTGTTTTATTCAGTAGCCTTATCTCTTTCAAGGCTTCACTATAAAGGATTCTATTTCTTTGCTGCTTTCCACTCCTAGTACCTAGTATTTTCTTTTTCTATTTACTTCTAGTAAGAGTGACTAGAGTTATACATGTGCTAGCACCATAGTTTTTACAACTGTGGAAAAGGTATACTAGATGGACAGTTAAAGGTTTAAGTATTTCTATATATTTATGGAAGGGTTTATGGAAGGATTTCCATATTTTTTTAAAATGTAGGTACTTACATCTTCAGGTAAAGACTTAACCAATTCACTATGAGCCATAGGTTTGATGCTCAACTGATGGATAATCTCTCGTTTAATCTCATCTGTAGCATTAACCTGTCCAACTCCAGGACTAAATCTCTCTCCTGTCAACAATGAATAAGTACATATAGACACACTTAACAATCATAATATTTATAAGCAATACATATTTATAATTCATGCAACACAATATATTTTTCTTTCTTTACAATGGGAAAGCAATGACTGGTCAGGCAATAAAGCAGGATGAGAATAGCTCCCAATCATTTTCCTGAGCCTCTGACACAACAGGTGAGTGTAGTCTTCAGCCACGGAGACAGAACTCTGGTTGATGTTTTCAAAGAATGAGATCAGCAGGTGGGAAGAGACTAGAAACAGCAGCTGTACCAGCGGCCTAGGAAACTGCTTTCTAGTCATCTGCCATGTGGTAGGAGGAAGGGACAGTCCTCCTTTGCCCTTTGATCTAGTGGCAAATAAGGTATCACCTTCTGAGATCTCCTTCTTTGGTATTACATCCTGACAGTAGCCAGGGTTCTCTGCTCCAGGGATGTTGAGAGTCTGAAACAGTATGGGAGGAGGGAGAAAGTAAAGCACACAGTAGGAAAGATGGAGGCGACAGGACCGAAAATATAGACAGTGAGAACACTCACGCACCACAAAGCCATGGAGAGAAACACAGCTAAGATATAAAGTAACAGTAAATAACTCCTAAATATCCTATTCTTGTTTGCTAAATTCTCCTGCTTTATTCCTAACTCACAATCTTCCAGTTTATCCTGCGTTAGCAGTTGTCCTCTCCCCTTCTTCCAAAGCACTGGAGTGCTGTCACTCATCATTACAGTAACCAGAGGGGAAAATAAAAATATATACTCTAATCTCCTTCCCCTAAAACTGAGTAACTGCTCAAACAGAAGGAACAGTTTAGATTCTAAACTATTTGCTACCACAAAAGTCAATACAGGACTTCCCTGGTGATCCAGTGGCTAAGAATCCACCTGCCAACGCAGGGGCCATGGGTTCAGTTCCCCGCCTGGGAAGATTCCACGTGCTGTGGGGCAGCTAAGCCCGTGTGCTACAAGCACTGTGCTCTGCAGCAAGAGAAGCCATTCCAACGAGAAGCCCGTGCACCTCAACTAGAGAAAGCCCATGCACAGCAACAAAGACCCAGCACAGTCAAAAATAAATAGATAAAAATTTAAAAAAAATTTTAAAGTCAATATAATACAGAAATGTTTCAAAATATCCAAACTTACCAACAAGCATTATAATGAGGTATAGCATTTCTTCTATTAGAGTGTTGTTCTGCTGAACTAAATCCTGAAACCATCGGGGGCAATGGAAGAGAGCAAGTTCAGAGATAAGAATAAGAATCATCTGTATTACCTCAGATGATTAAAATAACCAAAAAGAATGAAAGGCGCTTCTGTAACAATTGTGTTGTGGTCTCATAAGGCATGCTCTTACCTTATGGGCAGTCTCAGAACCAATTTTCTTCCCATAATCTGGGGTACTGAAAATTTGATAAAGTTCAAAGCGGCTAAGCATTATCATCAGGAAATGATTTGGATCCATCATGGAGACACCTGTCTTTTTTTAAAATGTATGAAAGAAAGGAAAAGAGGAAGGTCAAAAGGGCTACTAAACAATTAGTGAGACATATTTTGGTTTGCACAAGAGAAAGCAGCTTACTCGTTCATCAATTCCAATAAAAGATGAGGACTCATTTAGCCCCAGTCCTTACTTGTGATAGCTACAAGTGTGGGCAGGAATCTATGCTGGTAAAACAAAACAAAACATGCCCTGAACCCACATATCATAATAACATGGACTATATGTTCTCTTCGTTTTAAATGCTTTGCATTAGTTGTATCCCAATAAATTCAGTTCAAGGTTTTATGTCAGTGTTGTCACTCTCAAGGGTACGACTCTGAGAGAAATGTGGTACAGTAATAAAACTTTCAGTATTTTTTTTAAAATGCATATCATATTAAACTCTTATCAAGAACTCAAACTAATTTTTAGTAATAAATGCTATACTAAGTGAAATGCTGGCTTGTAAATATTAGTTTTAATTCTCCTATAATTCCATTTGTACAGATTCTCAATCAACTTGAATTTTAATTTTTTTGAACCAATAATTTTTGAAATTTACATTTTGTAACTTATTCTGTAATTTCTAAATCCACTCAGCAATAATATGGCAACACTACTTTGTGACAAGCACTGTTGCTATGTAAGTGGACATAAAAAGGACCAAGAGAGTTCTCACAGTTTAGTGCAGAGGAAGGGAAGTAAATAGGCAACCACAATCCAGAGTTATGAATGCTCTGGTGAGGATAAGTATCATGCTATGGGCCCTCGCCAAAAGGATACACAGCCACGTTTTAGTATGCCAGCTTTCTGGAGAAAGTGATACTAAACTAAACATGAAGATATGCAGGAAGACAAGACAGGTAGCAAAACAGAAAAGGAAGAGGGTGGGGGGGTAGGTATAACCTAGGTAAGGAAGGAAATAAATGTACAAATTTTAAGACTTAATGGAGTATATGACAAGTTCAGGGAGTTTTTAACATAGTTAAGTACTGAAGGCCTTGAAAATCAGTTTGAGGGATTTGGGGCTTTATAATCAGAGGACAGAGAACAAAGTATGGCTTTCAGATTTCTAACTCTAACAACTGTATAGATTGTTGAACAATTCACCAAGGTAAAGAAACTCTGAAGATGGGAAGAAGGTATGGAGGACACAGGATTTATTTTGAATATGTGAAACACGAGATGTGTTCAGGAAACCAGATGGAAATGTTCCATCAGTTATTTTAGCCATATGAATTTGGAACTTAGTAGATAAGGGCTAGGTGGCTTCTTTGGTAGCTCAGTGGTAAAGAATCTGCCTGTAATGCAGAAGATGCAGGTTTGATCCCTGGGCTGGGAAGATCTCTGGAGAAGGAAACAACAGTCCACTCCAGTGTTCTTGCCTGAGAAATACCATGGACAGAGGAGCCTGGCGGGCTACAGGCCATGGGGTTGCAAAAGAGTCGGATGCAACTTAGCGACTAAACAAAAACAGATAAGGGGTAGACTGAAGTTACAGATTTGAGAGTGGTCCCAAGTGTCTGGGTCTGGTGAAAATAATAAAAAGAAAAACTCCCCCAAACCTTTAAATTTAATGCTTTTAATTCATTACCTGAAGCATTACTATATCCTTATCAAACATTTCACGTCTACATTTCACATTGTGGTAGTAATAAATCTAAAAAAAAAAAAAAAACACAAGTAATTATATTGGGTAAACAGGTTTTTATTTGTGCAGTTTTCACCTCTCCCCACTCACCAAAAGAGCACATGGCTTTTGTGCATGTGAGTATGTGAACATGCAAACACGCACACACAATGTGGTTTCCCCAGCAGTGAATGCTATCTTAATAGAGATTAATTATTAGAAATTTCCAGATTATAGTATGGAAACTCTATGGAACTTTATGGTTCACATTTTGTAGCCAACTTTCTGGGCCTCCTAATAAAGTTCTTTCAATGAGATTTATAGCTATCAAAAGTAGAGAAAAATCCTATACCATGTCTTGGTGAGGTTTAAAAATTAAAACCTCAATTTCAGAGCTATACTAACAGAACTTTTATCTTTTAACTCAATTTTATAATTAAAGCAGGTGAAATCTTGATTTTTCATTACATTTTTAAAAATATCAAACTTTGTTCTACAAATGACTTCAAGTGAAAATTAAGTTCATTTCTACTTTTGATATTGTTTCTTAATAAAATATGAATAAAAGCTCTAAGAAACTTTTGGTTTAACATTACATCTATCTTGTCAAACAGTTTTTAATAAAACATTTTTAAGGTTCACTTCCAGTGGCCATTCAATAGTTTCAATATAGATGACTTTCGATGACTATTATAACCTCCACAGAAACTAAAGAATGGACTGAAAACTCTTCACAGAATTAAAAACCACTTACCTGGTTTACGAGAGAGAAACCATTTCTTCTCCACATTCCTGCATGTACTTGGGCACATAAAACAAGACATCTAAGAGGGTGTTCTATCAACATGGGTGGGCTAAGTTCACTCTGTGTATACAAAAAAACCACAAAAATCTCAACTCTATAAAGAAGACTGGTTTAGAGATGGAGACTTTATATAAAGTACAAGTCAAAATTATTTTAAGGTATGTCTGTGTGCTGGTTAATTTTATGCATCAACTTGGCTGGACCATGGTACCCAATTTTTGATTACCACCAGTCTAGATGTCGCTGTGAAGGCATTTTTTTAGATGTGACTAGTATTTAAATCAGTACACTTTATGAGCAAAGCACATTACTCTCCATGATATTGGTGGGCCTTTTCCAATAAGCTAGAAGGCCTTAAAAGAAAAGACTGAGGTTTCCCCAAGGATGAATAAATTCTGCTTCCAGCCTGCCTTTGGATTTCAGACTATAAAATCAACTCTTAATCCACCAGGTTGCCCGGTTTATTTCAGACTTGCCAAATCCCTTGACTATGTGAGCCAAATCCCTACAATAAATTAATCTGTCTTTTCCTGTATACACACACATATACAAACACACACTCAGGTATACTATGCAATGATTTGATATTTGCGGTTTGATTCCTGGGTCGGAAGATCCGCTAGAGAAGGGACAGGCTGCCCACTTCAGTATTCTTGTGCTTCCCTTGTGGCTCAGCTGGTGAAGAATCTGCCTGCAATGCAGGAGACCTGGGATCGATCCCTCGGTTGGGATGAGCCCCTGGAGAAGGGAAAGGCTATACCCACTCCAGTATTCTAGCCTGGAGAATTCCATGGACTGTATAGTCCGTGGGGTCGCAAAGAGTCCGATATGACTGAGCGACTTTCACTTTCACTTTCTCATAATTATGAAATGATCACCATGGTAAGTCTAGTAACCATCTGTCCCCATACAAAGTTATTACAATATTACTCAGCATATTCCTTATGCTGGATATTATATTCTCATAACTTATTATATAACTGGAGGTCTGTAATAGATATTTACTTTTAAATGTTCGCACTACTTACTAGAGGTAGGAGCTCTGGAAATTTATATGCCACTTCACTTTTACTTAACAACACATGCAAACCTGCATGGAAAACAAAGATAAAAGTATTTCTATAGGTGAAAGTCATTTAGATTAAAAAAAAAAAAAACCCTAAATATTTGCTCAACTTTATATCTAACTCCCTTTCTGTGTTTCTTTGGAAACCTATCATATTACACATTAAGATACAAAATGAATTGCATCCATAAAAGAAGCTTTTCAACTGTTATTTTCATGAACCTCTGTATTAAAGGCATGCTTAGAACCAGAGTCTTAATTACATGTACCAACATACACTGATTAAATTTTACAAAAGTAAACATTAGAAGTGCAGACATAGCAAATGCAGCTATGTAACTATCAAAGCAATTTATGTGTTAAACCAATTTTTAGGGTCATAATCGACTGGATCATGAAGTTTGTTCCATTTAAAGTACAATAGCAAGAGATCCTCCTGGCAACTGAACAGAGAAACTGGCCATGGAATTTAAGGTCTGCACTGATTCTGACCTCAGAATTCAGTTCCTCAGAACTTCCAGTTTAGGATTAAAGTCTCTTTCGTCCCTAATTGCAAAGGGCCTTTCATAGCTCAACTTTAGTTAATTCTGCTAGCTAAGAATTGTCCTATTTATGTTGCTGTCTAAACAGAGAATGCTTTTTACAGTCTTATCAATAGATGCAGGCCGCTTGGTCAAGCCTGGTTCGAAGCTTTCCTTATCCAAGAACACCTGTATTGAGAATCCCATTCTAACAATGTGCACTCAGCCTCCATTAGCACAGCCTCCAAGTTGTTCTTGAGCTGCTCTGTGTATGTTTGCTTGGCTCTCCAGTTAGATTATAAGCATTCAGGCCAAGGTTTGCCAAACACAGTAAGATAAAAAGCTCAAAATATTAGAAGACTGAGGGGGGTAAATACCTCAGCAAAATTAGTACATTTTTAGAATACTGACTGTTTTCCCTGTGGATAATTATCAGCATTAGCTTCCACTCAGATTTTCAAAGGGCAGAAAAGCTCAGTAGCTGAGTTGGAGACCCACTTCCCTGCACTCTAGTTGAACACTATGCCACACCACCATGCCATCACTTGCCTGTACTGAAGATCAATAGTTCAGCATGCAAGTGTCAATACTTATGAAAACAAAACTGGGCATGAACAAGTTACAGGAAAAAGAGATTTCTGCCTACAATCACAATTTCATTCCAGGTACTTTTTATTATTCTACTTGTACTATTTAAATTCACATGTCTAAGTTCAATCTTAAATCACCACAATTTTAATAAGAATCTAAAAAAACTGTTGGAATGCTAATATCTATTGGCAAGATAATGTGGTAATGCACAGAAAAATGGAAAAAAAAAAAAAAAGGCTTCAGAAATGACAGAGGGATTGTTACTATTTATCCCATAGACATTAAAAGGATAATAAAGGAATTTTATGAACAACTCCATGTCCACATATTTGATAACGCGGATGAAATGGACCAATTTCTTGAAAAACACAAACCACCAAAACTCACACAAGGAGATACAGATAATAGGAACTGCTAAAGAAACTGAATCAATGACTAATTACCTACCAAAGAAGGGAAAGTATCAGCTCCATACGATTTTACTGGTGAATTCTACCGAACATTTAAGGAAGAAAAGATGCCAATTCTCTAGTCTTTTAAACACACACACACAAACTAGTTTCATATTATTAAGTTACTGAGCCACACACTTAATCTACATTGCAAGTTCTGCAATGAGTGAAAATATTTACCTTGATAACTTTACTTTTCTACTCTGAGTTAAAAATGGAACTAAAGGGAACAGTATGTGAACAGGCTAAGAATTACTGCACTCAAGAAATGTGGAAGGAACTTACAATGTCTATAGAGACAGTTCAGTGCATATGCAGAGTTTCTGGCTGCCATGAGGTAGCAGCTTCAAACAGTCGAGCATGTATAAACAGTGTGTAAATCAGCTACTTACAGTTAAAAAAAACTATCAACCCAATTTGGAACTCACTTCAACCTGATGATTAAAAAATTATCAATAAGAAACTGCTTAGAGAGAGAGGAAGTCTAGGGTGTTTTCAATTTTTTTTTTTTGGGTGTTTTCAATATATTAACGATCACTTAAGTGACAGACTGAACAATAACACTTTCAAAACAAAGCATTGTAGGTATTCAGTAAATACTAACCACAAGCAAAGATTCAAAAGACAATTTCATGGTTCTCTTTTTAGGGAAAAATGTTTTACCTGCAAGTAAGCGAGAAACTGGGAGGTGAATGCTAACTTTTTCTTTGGAAACACAGTATCTGATAGTTTCCACTGAATGTCCACAAATACTTAACGTAACTGGCTGTTCACCATCCGTAAAACCACCATGACACTGTGTCAACACAGCAAGGCATTTCTTGTAAGCTTCTATTAATACTTTTTCCTATAAAAGAGGATTTTATGTTAAGTTTCTACAATATTAAATAAGAATCTCAAATTCAATGATGAATATTTACCTCAAATATCAATATGGGCAAACTCAATCTTCCCTTTGCAACTTGCTCTCTCTATCCAATGCCCTGTCTCACGGAACATCTCTACAGAGCTGTAGAAATCTAGAAGTCATTCTAATATACTCCCTTCCCTCATTCCCCATTTTTTCCTTTAAATTGAGGCATAGTTGATGTACATTAGTCAGAAGTGTACAATATAGTGATTCAAAATTTTTATAAATTATATTCCATTTAGTTATTATAAAATATTGACTATATTCTTTGTGTTGTACAATATATTCTTATAGCTTATTTATTTTACACACAGTGGTTTGTACCTCTTAATCTCTCCTATTTTGTCCCTCCTGGTCTTCTTTCTCTCCATTGGTAACCACTGGTTTGTTCTCTGTACCTTTGAGTCTGTTTCTGTTTTATTTTTTAGATTCCACACATAAGTGACTACAGGATTTGTCTTTCTGACTTATTTCACTAAGCATGATACCCGCCAGGGTCCATAATATTGTTGCTAATGCAAAATTTCATTCTTTTCATGGCTGAGTAATATTCCATTACACCTACCCACCCATCTACATATTCTTTAGCCACTCATCTATTGGACACTGTATCCTGGCAATTGTGCTGCTATGAACAAACAATGCTGCTGTGAACACTGGAAGTCTTAGTCACTCAGTCAAGTCCAACTCTTTGTGAGTGGACTGTAGCCTCCCAGGCTCACTGGCGAGCATGTATTTCTTCAAATTAGCGTTTCTTTATTCTTAGGTAAATACCCAGGAGTGGGATTGCTGGATTTTATGGTGGCTCTACTTCTAGTTTTTTGAAGAATCTCCATACTGTTTTCCACTGGGGCTACAACAATTCACATTCACACTAACAGTTGTACAGGTTTCCTTTTCTCCACATCCTCACCAACATGTGTTATATGTGGGCTCTGTGATGACAACTATTCTGACAGGTGTGAAGTGATAGCTCATTGTGATTTGATTTGCATTTCTCTTATGATTAGCAGTGTTCAGCATCTTTTCATGTGCCTATTGGTCATCTGTATGTCTACTTTGGAAAAATGTCCATTCAGGTCTTCTGCCCATTTTTTAATTGGGCTGTTTTTTTAATATTGAGCTGTATGGGATGTTTATATATTTTGGATAATAATCCCATATTGGTCATCTCATTGGCAAATATTTTCTCCTCCTCAGTAGGTTGTCTCTCTGTTTTGTTGATGGTTTTCTTTGCTGTGTGGAAGCTTTTAAGTTTAATTAGGTTCCATTTGTTTATTCTTTTGCTTTTGTTTCCTTTGCCTTAGGAAATACATCCAAAAAAATATTACTAAGATTTATGTCAAAGAGTGTTCTATGCTTTCTGCTAGGAGCTTTATGGTTTAGGTCTTAATCCAACTTGAGTTTATTCTTTTATATGGTGTGAGGAAATGTTCTAATTTCATTCTTTTACATGCCGCCATCCAGTTTTCCCAGCATTACTTACTGAAAAAGATCACCTTCTTTCCATGGCATATTGTCTCCTCTGTTGTGGATTAATTGACCATAATTGTGTGGGTTTATTTCTGGGCTCTATTTTCCTCATTCCCCATTGTGCATCTATTACCAAGCTAGCAACTGCATCTAAAATGCTCTCAAACTTGACCACTGATATCTCCAGTCACTTAAAGGAAGGCCAATGTGCCTCCATTGAACTTCCTGCTTCTACTCTTGCCCTCCTCCATCCGTTATCCACACAGAGTAACTTTCAAAAACATGTAAACTGGATCATGTCACTTTTCTGCTTAGGAGTCTCAAATGGCATCCACTTCAGTTAGAATAAAATTCAAACTTCTGAACATGGCCCTGCAAAGTTATGTCTTTGACCTCTGCTCCAACTACAGCCTCTCACAGCTTCTGGAACAACCATACTCCTCTTCATCAGAAAGCATGATACAGCTTTTCCTCAGTCAGGAATATTCTTTACTATGATCAGTTAACTATGACACATAGTTTAGATCTCATGGAAGCCTTCTCTGATCTCCCAACTTACACCTCTCATCTAGATTTTATAGCCAAAGGAGGCCAACATAGTTTAAAGACACAGGACAAATGTACTAATAGTAAAATTTCATTTGGGGGTAAATTTATAAACTTTTTATATGCTCAAAATCTTGATAGGATTATGGGGGGAAAAAGGAAGATAGCAACATAAGAGAAAAGTGTGTGGCTTATATCTCCCTCTATTTTCTAATTTCTCTAAGGCTTTAGGATTGTAACTTTTATTGAATGTATAGGTGAAAGAGGAAAATATGCTATTTTATGAGCATATCATTATTATCCTCTCCAAACTGCCTCATATTTTACTTAGGAAATTGTTTCTCTGCCCCGCCTCCATTTATCTCCTATCCCTGACCCCAGAATAGACTCACATCTAAAGCACACCAGTCTTGTATCATCGAAATGACATGTGTTAATTTCATTTGTAGTGTGAAGGCTGCTTCCCACTCTGGTTCCATTTCAATATGCTGTCCTACTTGACGTGTAATTGGATCCATTCCCTTAAAAGAAGTGAGAAGATTTTAAATAAATTAAAATTACATTTGTTTTTCTACATAGAAACTTAAGAAATAATGTAGAAGAAATATATACTGATTACAAAAACATACAAGAATTTTAATAGGAAGTTACAAGCAGTATAAGAAGTCCAACTTCTTAAATTACATGTTTGTATAACATTCCCTAAACTTTTATAAAGAAAAAAATCCCAGTAAGATATAGAATGAATTACTTTAAAGGCAATTTTCTACATGTTTTAGACAATAAAATTTGTACTTCATTGCAACAATCCTTCAAATTCCTTTTCAGTTCTATCATCTATAGAAAAAACTGTCAGAAGAAATTTGACAGGCTTTTAAAATGCTACTGAATTTATAAATATGTTCTATAAAATACTAAAATAAAAATTTTATATTTATTTGTAATTTGCAACTGCAAGTTTTCAGAGTTTGAAGGGAAGCAAAACCAGAAAAAGATAAATAGCTTTTAATACAAAAGAATATACCTCTTTAGAAACTAGCCTAACTACCCTGGTATAACAGAACTGATTAAATGATGGAAAATATAGGACATTTTGAGTATTCAAATTAACCAAGGTAGCTACCGTTTCTATAGGCACAAAGCAAAAAACAGAAGTACTATACTAAATTAAACATCCATTAATCTACCACATAACATGGGAACTAGAATATATCCTAAAAAGGACAGGTACTAAAGGAAGCATAATGATATTGCTCATCTTCTCTGAAATGTTATCTATCTTTTTACAGCCAGGGGAATTCCCTGGCTGTCCAGTGGCTAGGACTTGTGCTCTCACTGCTGAGGTTTGATCTCTGGCTGGGGACTAAAATCCCATAAGCCTCAAGTTGTGGCTGAAAACAAACAAAACAACAACAACAAAAAAAACTGGTTAACTATACCAGTTAACTTGTTTCTAGATTTTATTTTGTATACAGAGGTTTCCAAAAAGAAAATTAAACGGGCAGCTGGTGAGGAGCGTTCTATACTATATCATATAAATATGACATCCATGAAATAAGAAAGAAATATGCAAACATTAAAAAAACACACAAACATAGCTTCTTAACTAAGTTGACAATACTTCCATTCAAGCATATTCAAAACAAAATAACTAACTTGAAGCCCCCATAGAAAGAACATTAATGGTAACCAAAAAAATAACCAAATACAAAAGAACAGCAGATGTCAGAACCTCTGCTGGGATCTCATGCATTCTACACCTTTCTAAGAGTTTCCAATTAAGAGGAGCTTCTTGGTCCAAATTGTAGCTATCCAAATTATTCTTTTAAAAATGTGCCCAGAATGAAAAAAAATGCAAACAGAAAGATATTTAGATCAGTGAGCCAAAAAGGAAAAAAGTAAACGTTTCCCTTTTGAAATGTATCTATTTATACATACCTGCATACATTTGAGTAATTCCAAAAAGGCATCAAATCCTTCCAGGAACTTCTGCCTCAGACCATCTGACCATTCAGTTGGTTTGCTAATTAACACATACCTGACCAAGATAAAAACAGCCATGAGTAAATGAATAAATAATGACCTTTTACAAGTTGCAACTTGTTTAATAACTGAACAAAAACTTACTTGAGATCTAAAATAAGACTCTGAACCCTCCTAAACTTAAAGGCTTGTAAAGCAGTATATCGTTCAAACTGAAATCTGCCCTGGACATCTCGATGTCTCAAATGATCCATGAAAGTCTTAATGATAATGGTCATCAGGTTTTCTTCTGTGATAAGCATCCGAGCCTAAGACAAAGTATATCAGAGTACATGGTAATAAAAAACTATTTACCAGAAAGCTAAAAAAAAAAAAAAAAAAAGTCACCAACACTGGTTAGCTCTTTCAGTTTAGACCTTTTTCAATACAACTATATAAAATCATAATATCATAAATGCATTATTGTGTATTTCTAAATAACAATTACTTACTCCAATTGCCACGTGTATGAAGCAACAATTATATCACGGAGAAAGATGCCAGAATGTAAGGAGACAGATCCAAGGCTCATTATTCAAAGACAATTCAGGGTGGGGGATCTGAACCAGGCTGCAAATTTTCCTTAACTGAGACTTTTAGACACCTATAATGGTATGGTATAATTATTCTAGGATCCACAGTCTTATATCACAGATTCTGTAGAACTCAGTATGAAATATGAAACCATATTTCTTTTAAACTTAGTTGAGATTTATTTTTTGTTTCTTTCTGTGTATAGATATACATATCCATGTATTTTTGAATAAGCAAATACACTTAAATGATGCAAAAAAGAAGTAAAAAGGTAAGTCTCTTAGCTCCTAAAGTTTCCCTTTCAAAGGCAATGTTTGTTAGCCATTTTCTTACATATACTTCCAGAGGTGGTGCGTGTATAACATATACATGTATGCATACATACACACATATATATATACACATTTATAGTATACATGAATAATTGTTATTAAGTAGATATAAGTATGGCTATGTAAAATGATCTCTGCCCCCTGCCTCCTGCCCAAAGGATAGCCTATTATAAACACTGTTCTGCACTTGGTTTTTCACCTGATATATTTTGGAGATTATCCCATACCAGTTAACATAAATTCTCTTATTCTTTTTAACTATCACAACTATTCCCTTCTATCAAACTTTATTAGCCAGGCCCTTTACTGGTGAGCATTTAGGTTTTTCCCAATCTTATGCTATTTATCACAAAAGATACTGTAACAATTATCTACTGTGTACAGCTGCAAGGAGATTCATAAAATAATTTCCTGGAAGTGAATTACTGGGTTAAGGTAATACACATTATAAATTTTGACTGATATCACCAAACTCCAAATTGTCTCCTGAAAGAAGACAAAGATGTCAAAGAAGAAAAGATGCCTAATGTAGAGGTTAAGTGGTAAAGTCATCAGATCAAGAGAAAATCTATTAATGTATAGTTAAACATCCCTTTGAAAAAACTGTTAAATCACCATCTCATTGCCAGGACTTAGGCTCCAAGAAGCTCAAAGTCAATAGGATTAATGTATGCTAATTTTCCTAGACAGTAAAGACTATAGTTCAAGTTTGAAGGAGGGGAGGAATTGACAAGTAAAATGATTTTCCTTCTTGTTTGCTGTATTAGTCAATTTTGAGACAATTAAAAGAGTATAGGCAATTTCACTGACTTAAGAAAAACTTCTGTCTCAGGGGACAAGCTTTTACTATTTTGCCATCAAGCACATTGTTTGCTTTCAGTTTTTACTTTTTGTTTTGCTTTTAGGTACTTTATCAGATTAAAGAAATTCTTTTATTCCTAGTTCATTTGCAGTGAGGTTTTATTAATTTGTTTTAAATCATGAATTCAGGATAAGCATCTGTTATGATCATTTTTCCTCCTTTTTGTCTGTTAATATACTCTTTTATGCAAGCTGATTTTGTTTTCAAATGGTATACTACTCTTGCCTTAAAGATATAAAACAAACGGTTATGATACATTATCCTTTTCCCATATTGCTTGATTCTGCCTGCAATTCAATATGAGTTTTGGTAATAAGATTACAGAGGACATCATTAAATTGTCAAGTATATTCTCTCTGTTTTCTAGAAAAAGTTATATAAGACAGGTATTATTTTTTTCTTAAATATTTGGAAGAATTTCCCAGTGTGGCCTCTGGGCCTGGGGACTTCCTTGTGAGCAGATTTTTATATTAATTAAAACTTCTATTTCTTGTTTCTTTTGTAATTACTGGTGTTTTTTCTTAGGGATCTGTTCATCTCATCTAGATTTCCAATTATATTAACTGGATCCTAATATTGGCTATTTTCTATTTGAAATCTGTAAGATTTGTAGCTTTTGCAATCCTTTTTAAATTAAAATTTTTTTCTATTTTTCTTATTAGACTTTCTAGAGATGTATCTCCCACCAGGTTTGCTTTTCTTATCCTCAAAGAAAAATTTTTTGTACAATTTGTTTTGTTAATTTGTGTTCCTTACTATTTCCCTTTTTCTACTTTCTTTAGATAAAAGACAGAAGTAGTTGTACTACAATGGGCTTCAAGATCTGGCACTATCCACCCCCATCACACCCCATCCCCAAACTCAATGACCTCACAGATCATTCTCCTTCTCAGTCACTCTAGCAACACTGGCCTGATTTGGGTTTTTTCTTCTAAAATATCAAGTGCACATTCACCTCAGAACGTTCCACTTGCTATTTTTCTCTGCTGAGGAGACTCTTCCACCAGCTAGGCACATCACTTACTCCCTCACGTCTCTGTTCAAACACCATCTCTCCGAGAGGCTTTTTGGGAAAACCCTGTATAAAATATGACCCTTTCACTGCCACTCTCTAACCTTTTAATCTGCTTTCCTACTTTATGGCACTTCTCAACGACCTCTGATTTGTAAGCAGTATTACAGACATGTGTCTCCTCCTAGTTAAGATTATAAATTCCATGGGAACAAGATCTTCTGTCTTTTTTGTTTACTGCTCTACTTATCTCCGGAGTCTCAAACAATGCCTAGTTAATAAAAATTCTAAACAAATATGCTCTGAATTACAAATACATGTTATCTTCCTAGTGCTTCTAGCTAAAGGAGTCAGGTAAGAAACAAACATAAAAAATTGAAATATTAGAAAAAACCAAAAATTATTTGCAGATTACTAGAAATTCTAAGGAATTAACACAAAATATTAGAGAAAATGTTAATAAGAAAACCAGATAGATACAAGATGGATATATAAAAATCAGTAGTTCTTAATTTATTAGCCATAATGAGATTAAAATTGTGAGTAATTTATAATAGTGTCAAAAATATAAAACATAAAACACTTCTAGGACAAATTATGTTCCTAGATAGGGATATTCAATATTGCAAAATTATCAGTTCTTCCCTAATTATCTATAAATATTTTTTCAGTCAAAAACTCTAACGTGTTTTTGAAACTGACAAATTTATTTTTGTTTGTTGTTGTTTAGTCATCAAGTCATGTCTGACTCTTTTAAGGCCCCATGGGCTGCAGCCCACCAGGTTCTTCTGTCCATAGGATTTTCCAGGCAAGAATACTGGAGTGGTCTGTTTCACCCTAGATAATATACATGTTTCGATGCTGTTCTCTTGAAACATCCCACCCTCGCCTTCTCCCAGAGTCCACAAGTCTGTTCTATACATCTGAGTCTCTTTTTCTGTTTTGCATATAGGGTTATTGTTACCATCTTTCTAAATTCCATATATATGTGTTAGTATACTGTAATGGTCTTTATCTTTCTGGCTTACTTCGCTCTGTATCTAGGGTGAAACAGATCACCAGCCCAGGTTGGGTGCATGAGACAAGTGCTCGGGCCTGGTGCACTGGGAAGACCCAGAGGGATTGGGTGGAGAGGGAGGTGGGAGGGGGGACCGGGATGGGGAATACATGTAAATCCATGGCTAATTCATTTCAATGTATGACAAAAACCACTGCAATGATGTAAAGTAATTAGCCTCCAACTAATAAAAATAAATGGAAAAAAAAAAAAAGAATACTGGAGTGGGTTACCATTTCCTTCTCCAGGGGATATGCCCAACCCAGGGACTGAACTCGCATCTCCTGCACTGCCAAGAGGATTCTTTACCACTGAGCCAGTAGGTTTTCAGTCAAAAACCCTAATGTGTTTGTTGTTTGGTTGTTTTTTGAAATTGACAAAATGGTTTTAGTCCTTTAAAAAAAAAAGGTCTAAAATAATTAAGAAAATAATTTCTTTCCTTTTTTTCAGTTCAGTTCTTATTTACTTGCATCAGGTTTTTCAGTTGTAGCACATGGGATCTTTAGTTGCTGCATGTGGGATCTAGTTCCCTGAGCTGAGATTGAACCCTGGCACCCTGCAAGGGTGGGGAGGGGGGACCACAAAAGTCTGCCACTGAACCACAGGCAAGTCCCAAGAAATTTCTTGGCAAGAATAATAAAAGGAGATCTAGAGGTCTATAAAATACTAAAATGGATTATTAAGCTAAAATTATTAGAACTGAGTACTGGCATGGAAATGGACAAAAGGATCAATGGAGGAGAAATGCAGATTTGATTACACATGCGATTGTCTCAGAGGCTTCTCAAACGCATTGCTGACTAAACTGAAAGCAACACTTTCCCTCTTTACAAGTTCTACTCATTATCCAAAACTTCCTATGCAAGTGGCAGAGAAATCTACTTGGTTACAACCAGAAACCCAGGAATCACCTTTACATTTTCCCCTCAAACCCAATAACCAATGACTCACCAAACCCAACATCCCTGAAACCCAAAGTGTGGTTGTTTAGCAGATTTCACTACTTACATCTCTCTCACAACTTCTATACCCTCTGCCACAATCCCTAACAGGCTCCCCACAACCACTACTGCCGCAGCAAATTTGTTCTCCAAATTACAAAAAGCTTCATGTTTTAAAAATCACAAATGTGATGATGTAAGTGCCACTTCAAACTCTTCAATGCCTTCCAATGCTCTTAAGATGAAAATCAAAATCCTTAATTTGGACCAAAATATCTCATTAGTGGGTAAATAGACTTCAAATAGCTTCAACTGTGCTAGAATACACCCTTGAATATAAAAGTATCTGAGGATAAAATAGTCATTAAAAAAAGAAGCTGGAACAGACACCTTATTAATAAAATAAGTGTAGAATACTCATAGCTCCATACAGTCAGGCCCTTGCCTATGTTTCTGGTCTCATTTTATTCCATGTTCAAGGATGTTCAACTGCACTTCTTTCCTTCTATTCCCTTTATAGGAACGTCCCTACTTCAGGGTTTTCTCAAGTGCTGGTTCCTTTGAATGGATTTTCCTTCATGAGCCTGCATAAAGCTACACAGAATCCTCTTCCAAACTGTGGGAAAAGGTCAGACCTTTTTACTATTCTCTCAGAACAACCAAATTCTTCAGAGTTTTTACTATAGCTTTAATTAACCATTTATGTGAGTCTTTCCCTCTACAGTAAGTTTCATGAAGGCAAAGACTATGTCTGTTTTTGTTCACCACTTCATTCCCAAAACACAGAACTAAATAAATAATAGGTGCTCAAAGTTTTGTTAAATGAATCAAATATTAATTATTCAATATTATGAAAACATAAGGATGCCTGCTGGAACAACTAGTGAAACTTAGTACAAGATCACGGAATCATCATGATTCAATTGCCTTAGTAATCCCCTGCCTTAGAGTGGAAAAGGAGGCTTCTCAAAAATGTGAGATTATATACAATAGGCTGTTTCTTCCTTCCTGTCTTTCTTTTTTTGGCCACACTGCGTCCTTTGTGGGATCCTAGTTCCCCAACCATGGATTGAACCCAGGAGCCGGCAGTGAAAGCACCGAGTTCTGACCACTGGACAGTCTAGGAATTCGCACAATATGTTGTTTAACTAATGAGTTTAATTAACTTGTCAGTTCAAAACCTCAAGGAAGTACTATGAGAAAGTCCAGATTAAGTTCAAATAACTTTCCCCCTCCAGATTACATATTCAAAGTTATATCTTCTGGTATAGAAGGCATCCAAAGTCGTATCACCCATTAATAAAATATTTTTCTATTCAGAAATATACAGATCTCAGTTCAGTATTATTTTAAGGCTTTACTCCTTCTAGTGGAAAACAAGAAAGTTCTTCTTAGTCTTTTAGTACTTACAAGTGAAGGGACTGTGAAAATCTGAACCGAGAAGTCTGCGATTGAAAACTCTCTGTCGTGGTCATCTGTCACATAATCACTCTGCAAACGCTCATAGTTCTATTAAGAAGGCAAAAAAAGGCAAGGAGTGCCAGCTATCAGTGACAAAGAAGAGGCAAGCACTACTCACCAGAGTAGGTGCGGTGAAGAACTGGACAGACAGAGCAGTCACGGACACTGCTCGCTCGTGATCATCCTCCATAAAATCTCTCTGCAACTGCTGGTAATTCTAAACAACAAGGGGGAGATTCACCTCTAATCCACAATGACCAAATGTTTAAGGATTATAATGAAAAATCAGTGCTGGAGGAGTCAATAAGATGTGCTATGAGAATAACTGGAATGATTTCTACCAACTATCAATATACTAATCTGTAAACACACTGATTCACTATGCAATCTTCTTGAGCACCATGGCAGTTTATGAGCTCAAACAGGAGTAACAGCTATTAAAATCCTGGGCTGTCATTGTACACAGGTGGAGCTCAATCACAGTAGCTTTACATTGCCTCTGATGAAATCAGACTTTCATTACTTCTGGATGGCTATCACAGTCACCTGGTGGCTCTTTCAAAGTACACATGCTTGGACCCTATTCTTGGTGAATCTGCTTCAGCAGGTTTGAGAATGGAAAACATAAATATGTATATTTTGAAAGAGCTCCTCAAATGATTCTTATATGTTTCCTTTGTTAATACTCCCTAATTCAGGTGAATAAAAATAACCAAGCAGTTAGCTTAAGGGAGAAGACCAAAATTCAATGGCATCAACAACCTAGAGTTCATGATTTTTAAATCACATCCATATACACATGTCGTTTCAACTAAGATTATCTTTTCCTACACAAAATTTAATAGGAATAATATAATAATTCAGAATGGCATAGGTTTAAAGTTTCCATTTATCACTTCACGTCATATACACTGCATAGATGGATATTTATATTATCATGGCAGGTTATAAACATGAAAAACCTCACTGCTAGACTTTTATTCTATTGATAAAAGATAAAAAGATACTTTATGAAGTTTCTTAGAATGTAAAATCAACATAATGACACATTACTATTAGCTACTAATTTTACAAATGCTGGATATAATCATGGACTACAGCTATTCTGTATATAACCTATTTTTTTACTCTTCAAATATGAGAAACTACTTACCTTTGCAAATCGAACAGCAAACAGTTTCTTGTATTTCAAATCCATAAGTAGACTGCTCATGAACAACTGATGATACACACTCCTAGCACCTTTTACAAAAAGAGCAGATATAACATGAGGATATACCAAACAAGCCAAAAATTCATTTCCAAAGTCTTCATATGATTAATTGTATTTTTACGTCTCAAGAGCAAAACTCTACATGTATTCCTTAAAACATGTGAAAACTGTTTCGTTAAAAATCAGTTTTTCTAAATGTATTATTCCAACAAAACATAAAGGTTATTTGAGTCATGGATCCTCAAATCTGTTTTTTCCCCAAAGAATAAGACTGTATGTGCTAATTCTAAAAACCATAAATATATTTATTAAATATTTCCTCAAATGAAAAAGAAACTTTAACATCCCAATTACCTATGAAAGTTCCCCTATACCTTACAGTAGTTAAGATACTTACCTTTCCACAATTTGGAATCACTAAGCATCAATCTATCCACTAGAGAAGAGTTTTCACCATCTGGCCCTTCTTGTAAACCAACCTGACATAAAATTCGGCGAAGGCCATCTTAAAACAGGAAGAAAAATAGTCAAGAAGTAGTTAACTTCAAATATTAAAATAAAATAACTTATTAGTAAAAGTGTTCAAATGGACTTACTATAGAGTTTTTACTTGCTTTTTTAAAAGGTCAAATTTATTCAGAAAAAGTAACTATATTAACTATTTTATTAACATTTTCACAAAATGGAGAAAAATTCCAAATCCTGCATTCTATACCAACTTTTATTCCAGAATACCAAAATATTTATCAGAATGGCAATGATCTTTTATGCTTAAACAATTTAAACAACAAAGAATCCAAAAGCCACTGAAGTAAACATGGTTTTCTAAGCATCTATGCTAATTAAACCAGGTATCAGTAAAATTGTTATAAATCCTATGGTAACAAAAGATAGGTATAATATGAAATTATGCTACCATTTAAAAGAATACATGCTCTGTACTTTAATATATACCAGTCCATTTTATTGTTATTATGCACAATGTTCATTAAACAAAAATACAAAAATATGTACTTATGTATACCCACTATATGAGAGGCTTTGGAAGGCAAATTCCTACATATACTAAACTTAAAAAAAAACCCTTCAAATATTAATGTAAGCATTAACACAACTAGAACTTTAATACCTTCCGGTTTCGTATTTTATATTTAAAACCACTGTTTTTAGTCATCTACAATCATGCAAAATAATCTGAAACTTCTTTTCTAATTTAATTATAAGAGCCACCAAATAGAAATTTTTTAGAAGGCTACAGAGAAAACTTTATATATATATTAAATAATAGATGATAAGGTCTTTAAATTGTTGATGATAAATTTTCTCAAAGAAAATTTTTAGCAGAAAACTGTTTCCATGATACTATTTATTAATCCTGTAGCACAGTACTTGGTATACAGATAGATACCCAATGGAAAACAGCAAAGTTAAAAAAGGTTAAGAAAACTAACTGGAAAGACATTTAAAAGGCAAGCAAACATATTCTCCTAAATTTCCACACTTCCCAATTTTCACCTGTCAGTTCACAGTTGGCAGTACTCTTTCTAATAGCTTTTTAATACAAATGTTTTAGAAATTTTCTTTATAGCAAACACTTGAATATCATGTATCCAAACCACATCCCTTGCCTGAAGAAATGTAGGACAGACAGCTTAGATGTATTCCTAGTTTACTCTTCAGTGTTACACAACAAACTTGTATTTTTGGCATTGGACTTGAAGGCTCTTAATTGTTACCACTACTTTCAAAAGATTATCTGATCTGTTGACTATGGAAAAACAAAAACTGAAATACATAGTAACTTCAAATTTGCATATTTTCAGGGTTGCAAATTATCAGTAAACACAAATTGTAGAAATCAAAACAAAGATATCCTTTAAACAGTTAACCATTTAGGTTTTATTTACAGTAGCATTTTTCAGCTTGCTTTGTGGAAAAGAATTCCACAGGATGCTCTATTAAAAATAGGTTCTTTTATCAAGTTGGTAAGATTTAGATTCATTAGCATATTAAAATCATTTACAATTGTTTAATCCACTGTTTCCTTTATTTGAAGATAAATAAATGTTTTATTTATGTATGAAAATATATAAATGTATGCATATGAAAAAGATCCCATAGATCAAAATTGGGAAGTATTTTTTTGTGTATATAAAGATATTCTTATATAGTATTTAAAACTAAAGCAAAAAAAAAAAAAAAAGAAAAACCAGAACACCTGATTCCATTTGTTACTTTTCCAAAATAGTTTTACTAGGGCATATAAGCTCATTTTTAAGTTAATTTGCAAAAGGTTTTATGGACCTACCTGAATATCCAATAATACTTCCCAGCCAAGACAAAAGTTTCAAACCAAAATTTTGATGTGCGACAATAGACGAATGCATAACTTGAACTTTGAGTGGCTTTGTTTGTCTACTGGTATTTCTCTTAAAAAGAAATGACAGGATGAAAAAAAACAAACTTAAAAAGGCTATTTTATAGAAAACAAATCAAATTTTTTATTAAATATAACTACACTCTCATCATTATAGGTGAGTTATTCATGTATGTGTGTAAGAAAAACAACATGGGTTGCTTTATTCAGATTCTGATTTTCTAGAAGGAATCCTAGGATTCTTACAAAAAAGTAATAAGTTACAGTTTTAACCTGAATTCTTGGTCTTATATCTGAAAATGTGCCCCATCAATTATAAATTATTTAAGTGTTAAACTGTATGTTTTAAAACTAATTTCTTAATGTAATTATACACTAATTTGAATAATTTACTTCACTGCATAAATGTGATGTTATCAATATTTTAATAAAAATTATAGTAAACACATAACACTTTCCAGCTTAACCATTTTTAAGCGTGCAGTTCTGTGGTGCAAAGTACACACTGGTGTGCAACTCATTTCCAGAACTCTTCGTCTTGCAAACTGAAACTCTGTACCCAAATACGCTGGTACCTCATACAAACAGAACCATACATTACCTTCTTGTGACTAGCTTATTTCACTTAGCATAATGTCCTCAAGGTTCATCCACACAGTAGTGTGCACCAGAATTTTCTTCCTTTTTAAGGCTGGATAAAATTCTACTGTGTGTATATGAATTCTACTTAACCATTCATCCAGTTAAACAGCTCCTTAGTGTCTAACAGTGGATGAACTGATAGACACCTTTTGTCAACTGAACAATGCTGTCATGAACATGAGACTCTGCTTTCAATTCTTCTGTGTACATAATCAGAAGCAAAACTGTTGGATCATATGGTAATTCTATTTTTATTTTATTTATTTATTTATTTATTTTTTTGGTAATTCTATTTTTAATTTTTAGAGGAAGCACCATACTGTTTTCCATAGTGGTTGCACTATTTTACATTCCCACCAATAGCACACGAGGGTTCCATTTCTCCATATCCTTGATAATACCTGTGATTTTCTGTTATTATTGTTGTTTATAATAGCCATCTTAATGCATATGAGGTGCTATCTTATTGTGGTTTTTACTTGCATTCCCCTAATGATTAATAATATTGAGCATGCTTCCATGTTCTTTGCCAATCTGCACATCTTCTTTGGAGAAATGTATTTAAGTCTATCAAAACTTTTCATTTAACATGATTTCCCCCTTTTCCTTTTCTTTTTGAATCATCTTTCTACCCATCTCATCCCATCTCCATAACCCACTTTAGCACAGTATACCTTTGAATATTTTATCCACCTTATATGTATCATATATGCACACAGTTATAAAGACTTTATTTGATTTCCAAAAAAAAAGGAATATTACCATACTCTTTTGCATCTTTGTGTTAACAGATTTTTTTTGGGGGGCGGGGTGAGCTTAATGACTCATCACATTCTGTGGTGTGGATTTATTTAAACATTCTCGAGAGAAGGGTATTCATATTCTCTCTGTTTCAATCTTCTATGACTACAACAAAGGTAGTACTGAACATCTTTGTACACACACTAACTGGTGCTTATATTTTTATGGGATAAATTTCTAGGAGAGGCAAAATTTTAATATATGCTACTAGACTGTTTTCCAAATACATGGTAGTAATTTATGCATCTCTGCCAGCAAGGTACTTTTATCACTCTTAATTTCTCCATCTGTTGGGTATGAAATCTCCCTGTCATTTTGCTAATTATTAGTGAGCTTGAGTCTCTTTTTACATATATTTATACCATTGAGATTATCTCTGCTGTGGTTGTCTTTCCATACCCTATGTCCATTTTTCTATTCTGTTGTTTGCTCCCTACTTGATAATCTATGAGTGCTCTGTTTATCATAAACATTAAATGTCTATCCTTTGTGTTAGAAATAATTTTTCTAAATTTACTGACATTTTAAATAATATTCTGCTATGCCAATTTTTTATATAGCCAAAAAAATGTATTCTTTTTAACTCCTGGGATTCTAGTCTTGGTTAAGAAGCTCTCTTCCTCCCCCCTTAGAATATACCTTTGTTCTAGATTTTCCTCATACTAGTATCTATCTCTGGACTTTCTATTCTATATTATGAAAATAGTATTGTTATACCTATGCAGACATTACCAGAGACTTATTTTTTAGGAAAAAACTGAAATAACACTATTAAACAACAAATTAAAGGGAAAAAATATCATCTCCTTTACCTGGATTCTGTAAAATTACCTGTAAAATTCTATCCTAATTGCTTTATCATTTACACATTATCTTTCTTTTTCCACACACAGACAAAAAATAATCACGGAAGGTAACTTATATGGATCATGTCCTCTTATTCCTAAAAACTTCAGTATATAGTTCCTAAGAATGGGGATGTTCTATCACAGTATTGTTTCTAATGCATTATTAAATTGAGTATGTCCAGATATCAAGAATTTTAAAAATAAGACACAAACTCATAAAAAGAAAAATATAGTTTGCTACATTAAAATTTAAGTTTTTGCTCAAGGAGAGGCATCACAAATAAGATATAAAGTCATATGTCAGGAAAAGATACTGCAACAAAAGATCAGGATTCAGATTATATAAAGAACCCCTACAAATGAATAAGAAAAAGACAAATAACTTAAAAAAAATGGGTAAGGGTATGAACAAGAAATTTACAGAAAACTTAAATGACCAATACAATAAATATGAAATAAGATACTCAGTAATCAAGGCAGTGCAAATCTAACAGATGCGATACCATACATACACAGCAGGTTGGCAAAAATTTTTTAATTTGACAATATATAGTTCTGACAAAGCAGTAGAGACACAGGAACTGTACTTCACTGCTGGTTGGAATGTATACTGGGTACCACTATTTTGGAGATTACCTTGGCAAAATCTAGTATTACTGAAAATGCTTATAACTTAACAACTCGACAATTCCATTTCTTGGTATATATACTAGAGAAACTTTTGCTTTTATGCAACAAGAGGACCAAAAAACATCCATAGCAGGACTGACTGTCATAGAAAAAATTGGAAATATCCAAACTCTTCATCAAGAGGCGAATGTAAAATTACAGTATAGTCATCAATGGAATACTTTACAGATACATATATCAAACCAGATAAATCTAGAAACAACACTGACATGAAAAGACAAGTCACCATTGATGGTATAGTCACCAATGGAATACTTTATACCATACATGTATCAACATAGATAAATCTAGAAACAACGCTGAAATGAAAAGCCAAGTTACAATATAATACATTCAGTATGAATCTTGTTATATAATGTTTAAAGACCTCCAAATCAATGCATATAATATTGATAGGTATTTAGCAGATAAAGTAAAAGGCATATATGGAAATGAAAAATTAATTAACAAAAGTAGTTATCTCTAGTGAAAGAGGAAGGGGAATGGGATTTAGAAGAGATAATACAAGTGCCTCTGTACTATTTTATTTATTTAAAATAAGCACAAAGAAAATAAGATATAATGTAGCACACAGGCATTTACTGTGCTATCTCCATATTTTATCTATATATTTAAAATATTTTACAATATATAAAATTATACTTTAAAAGGATATTTACATAAAATGTGGTTACAGGGAATATTAAAGACAATAAATTCTAACTTTTAAAAATAAATCTAAATGTGGGGAACAGTTTTCTTTCAGATGTATTATACACTAAATGCTATACAGCATACCTTGCTAATAAGGTACCAAGAAACAACTTCCCTTGAATTCTAATCTTGGTGCTAAAGGCCAATTTAATTCCTAAAAAGGTAACATGAAACCCTATCAAAAACAAAACAAAAAGCAAAAAACTTTCTAAGACATCTTTGATGAAGAAATAGGAAGAGACAAAAAATATATATGTATTGCATCTAAACATTCATTTTTTTATATCAAAATTACAGCTTAAAAAAACTAGGTAAAGCAACAAGCAATGTTAAACTAATGTATTTTTAAATGTGATTTTTAGCTGATGTCGGCTTTACATTCAAGAAGGCAGAAAAATGTGTTCATAAACACCAAAATGTGGGACTAGTTTTATACTAATAAAAAATACAAGTGTACACATGTTTTTACATTACTTACCACAATTATTGATTTTGCTTGTTCACAATACTGGAATTCTCCATATCGAACAGACCTACGTCCCTGTAAATAAAGACATTTGAGATTAACTTGCAAAAATATTTATATTCAGTATTAATAATTTTTGAATCAGTAAACAGTGTTATATGAGCATATAACAACTCTGGTCAATGTTTAATATTTACAATGTTTATTTTATTCATTAATTAGAAAGTAAATTAAAATATTTTCCTTCAAAGCAATCCTAACATTTTCAAGCCATCAGTAAGTATATACCTTTGAACAATACTACATTTGTTCTTCTGTGTAGAATGAAGGCAATTTATGTTTTCACCTAAACTTTCTGACAACAGCCTACAGTTATATCCAATATATATTTGAGACAATATTCATATGAAATTAAAAAAAAAATAACCTAGACAAACACTTTTAACTTAATTTTCTAGGATACCTTACCTGTATTAAAAGTGTAATTATGCAACATCAATGTAATGAAATTACTTACATCTCGATCTACTGTAGTTGCAAAGCCAATGGCTTCTTTTTGTGTACAGTTAACAGCTTTCTGAAGAGTATAAATAACTTGTTCATAGGTATGAACCTCATCATTAAACAGCATGCAATAGTAGGTGTCACTCTTCTCGCTGTGGGATAAAACATTAATTATACATCATCTATTTGCGTATCACCCTGCTCCAGGATGATTTATTAAAAGAACACTTTGTCCTGGGATTTTCTAGTATCTCAGACAGTGAAGAATCTGCCTACAATGCAGATTGGACCAGGGTCCAATCCCTGGGTTGGAAAGATTCCCTGGAGAAGAGCATGGCAACCCACTCCAGTACTCTTGCCTGGAGAATTCCATGGACAGACGAGGCAAGAGGGCTACAGTCCCTGGGGTTGCAAAGAGTTGGACATGACTGAGCACCTAACACTTTCACTTCAGACACTTTGTCCTAGGGAATGTGCTAGGCACTAGGCATATATCTGTAATGAAGTCATCTCTGGTCCCCACACTCTATGATGTTATCAAGCTGGTGCGAAAGATACATACACATAATCTGTGTGAATTAGCTTTTATCAAGAACAGGATGCAGAGTGGGATAAAACCAGTCTGGGAGTTCAGGGAACCGCCAAAGAAGTAACGTGAGAGCTGAAGTCAGAACTGGCCATCAGCGGTGGGTGCTCAACTGGGGGATTCTCCTCAACCCGTCAGAGATGGCCACTTGGCAATGTCTGGAAACATTTTTGGTCGTCATGACTGGGATAGGAGTGCTTCTGGTGTCCAGTGGGTAAAAGCCAATGATGCGGTTAAAAATTCTACAATGCACAAGTCATGCCCATAATATCTGAGCCCCAAAGTCAACAGTGCCAAGGCTGAGAAACTATAGTCTAGTAAAAAGTGAAAGCAAAGACCCTGAGGTGGTAAAGGTAAACTGGGTGGTGGAGCACGGGGAGGAAGGAGGAGGTTAGTCTGGAGAGAGGCAGAAATCTTAAAGACCTTGAAATAGATTTGGATTTTCCCATCCTAAGAGCAATCCAGGATTTGAAATGGTGAAAATTCACTGTGGTTACAGTGTGGAGAATGAACTGCAGGGAGACAAGAGTGGATATGGCAGTCCGGTTAAGGGTATCATGCTGTCCAAGGATGAAATTAATGTAATTTGGACAACCATAGTAGTAATGCAGATGAACAAAAGTAGAACAACTTGATACAGGGGTAACCTGCTGGACCCAAAATCTAAGTGGATATATGGGTGATTCAGGTTTCTGGGTAGATCAAACGTCATTTACTAAGATGAGAAAACATTACAAGTAAGTTAGATTGCTTTCCCTTCTATGCTGGTAGTCCCAAACTGAAAATGGACTAGAAAAATAAAAACACAACTTTTCTGTTCTCTAGGGTCTAAATTTGGATTTTAGATTTAGATCTTAGTTGGTTCCTAACTCAAAATACACAAAGATAAAGTTATGAGGTTAACTAAGTCATTTTCAACATTTCCAAAAAGGAATGCTAACATCTCATTTCATTAAGAAACATAAACTATAACCTGATTATTTGGAACACTGTTGAGAAAGCAAAAAAGATACAGCACCAATGTCCTTTAGACTCTCACTTGTATTCAACATTGAGCATGAGTATGATTCCAACAAGCTTAACCGGTTAGAATTAAATGTAAAAGAGAAGGCTGCTCGAGGCAAGCACATTCATGCAAAAAAGTTAAGTCCTTAGCCGTAATACAGCTATAGCAGAATCCGGCTCTCTGGTTGCAAATTTACAATCTCCTCAATAATTTAAGAACAAATGGTTAAAAAAAAAAAAGTTAGATGTACACCAAAAGAAGCACAAAGTATAGAATAAATTAAAAAAAAAACTCAGAATCAAAATGATTAAAACTGAATTTGTGCATTTAGTCAAACCAAAAAACTCACTTAGGTCACAGTGCTCATTCCCTAATCAAATCTGACAGATGAAACAAAAAGAATTATCGAGCTAACAGCTTTAACACAAAAAGAACAGAAAAATGCCCGAGTGTGCAACCAGTGGTACAGCTTTAGCTAAAATATGGTTATAAATCAGCTAAAGCAACCAACAGGGAAAAACCTCTACTAATTAAATGGCTCACATATATTTTAAAACCATAAAATCAAGGTTATTATTTTGCTGAAAACTAGTAATTAAAAAAGATTATGTTCAATCCTAGCTACATTAATTTGAGGAATTAGAATCAAAATGTTTAAAACTAAGTATAAGCAAATACAAAGAATAAATGGGTTGTACTTACATCATCTCTAAATCTGGTGGCAATTCACTTTCTTTTTCCCAGGTTAGTATCTCTACTGCATATCGAAACATAATAGCAAAAATGTTATAAGTTCTTGCTATCACATCTTCTGATAAATGGACAAGAGGATCCTGAAAGAAGAAAAAAAGCAACCATGTTAAATGCACATTAATTCTCCTTTTTTCCATTCTGCCTTCCTCCTCAAAATACTACTGTAAAAGGCTGACTGATCCTCCAGCGTCAATTTCTCTTCAATTTGATCCTTTATGTTGTATCTCAGCAAATCAAACTTCTAAAACATTTTGTCCACAATAATCCCTATTACTGAATCTTTTGAATCAAAATATTCCAAGGCACTCCAATGCCTAATACATCTAAAAATTTTGGAATGGCATTAAGGGATCTTAAAATTTAAGCATGTTTACAGCTTCGTATCCCTCTAATCCCCAAATTCCAGAATAAACAAAGAAAAGTTATCTAAGGACAGACAAGCAATAGTTAAGTTTTACAGGTATGAAGCAAAGCCTAATTTTGAGGATTTTAAAGGGGAGAAGTCAACAAGATCAGAAAACTGCTCCTTGATGCAGTTAAGAATCACTCACTTTCAGTGAGACAAGTTGTGTATGCATGTAACACGCAAGTTCACACATTAGACTTAACAGTGAATAAGTCACTAAATTTCAATGCTAATGTAAAAAAGTATTACTATAAACATACACTAAGTTTATCATGGTATCTTTCAGTCAGGCTGGCAAAAGGTTTTACACAATCTTTAATCTTAATGCTTTATCTTATGTTTAGATTTAAGATAAACACGTTATTCAGCTTAATGGCTAAAAGTGTTATATTCACCTCTCAATAAGAAAATCAATATATTCCAACATGATGGAAAGGGAACCAGCACATTCTTGCAAATATACATAAGGACACAGAATCATTTTTGTACATCCTCACCAAGGACCAGCTTAATGGAACTGATATAAATCAAATGGAGGAGAGTAGTAACAAGAATGAAGAAAAAAGGACAGATTCCTAGAGAAGATGGGTGCAGGACTTAAAGAATGCCAGAAAAAGTAAAGTAAGGAGAAGATTTTCCGAAGTCTTACAGAACTTTCTACCTATGCTTTATATGTTCCATCAAAAAAAAATTTTTTATACTGCTACCAGGTTTGCTACCATTTCTTATGGAGACTTTAGAAGTTAACATGGTAAAATCACCTATTATAAAGAAGGTACCAGAACTGGAACCTTTTGGGGATTCATAGAAGAGTGGCTAGTAATCATAAAATGAACCTCACACAGAACTAAAATAAAAAGTAGAACCAAAACTCAGTTTTCTAGGTTATACTATCTCACTATATGGTCATTCTGTTTCTTACGTTATTATGTCCCGTAATACAAGACATTTTAGAGGACTGAAGAATTATGATAAACAGGATTTATAAGAATGAAATGGTGTTGTGATAGAAACAACTGCCACCTCTTGAGAATCCAAGCCAGTAGTGTTCAAACTCTGTTCTACAACATCCCAGGGTCGGGCAGAGATGTTTCTTATTTGAAATACACATCTGTTTATATTTTTAAACAGTCTCCAGATAAAGATTCTTCTGCCATCTTTACATGCACATGTTAACTTCTTGAAAATGGTTACGGATTAAGAAACATTTCTACAGTGAAGAGATGCTGGGCTGTGCAAGTCTATTCATGTGTACAATGGGAAATCAATGCTATTTGAAGAGACGTCTGTTCAAAGTGCTCTTATCACAGCATAAGTTAGTCAGAATGAGAAAATAAATGACCATCTTATCCTATGTTGCATTACTTATTATGATTAATAATGGTTTTTGATGACATTTACATAGAGAATGCAAGCCTTTGTCAGTGAGTTAAAAAGGCTAAAAAGGCTACTGTTATCTTAGAAGACCATGGGAATTATGGAGAACTTTAATCTTTTATGTGATCACTTCTATACCTCTATAATGTCTGAATTTTTAGAATGTCAAAAGAAAAAAAAAAGAGAATTCCCTGGTGGTCCAGTAGTTAGGACTCTGAACTTTTACTGCTGAGGGCATGTGTTCAGTCCCTGATTGGGGAACTAAGATCCTGCAAGCCAAGTGACACAGCCAAACAGAAAAAAAAGAAGGGGAAAAAAAGTAACCATATAATATAAAAGAGTTTAACTGCTGTCTTATGCAAATAAGGTATAAATGAGAGCTTTCTCCACACTGCCTAACTAAAACTAGAAATTAACTAGAAACAAAATAATCATGGATGTCTTTCTAACAAGTAAATAATATACATTCCAACTTATAAAAATTAAATTCATTAATAATACCACTTTTGTGTTTTACTATTGGGATTTAATTAAAATTTTAAAAAATTCCACTGCCAAAAAAATGTTTCCAAAAATCAGTGCAATGTACTATCAGAGTTGTCTGAAATACCTAGGTTTAAAGCCCAGTACCAGCACTTAACTGTGTGGGGTACTGCAGACAACTTTCTTAAAATAAGATTCAAGTTTCCACAGCTACAAAATATGGGTAACAGTAGTTATTTATCTTACACAGCTGTTCTAAACACTATCCCAACAGAAGTATATAATCCAATTTTTCCAACTTTTTCTTAAGATGTAGGCTGAATGTAAAACAAAAATAAAATTATCTTCAATAAAAACAATTCTATGACAGACTAAAAAGTCATGTTCCAAATAATACATACCTTTCTTCCATTTCAAGCACAAAATATAGAAAACTTAGATAATGTATAAATTTAGTGAGTGAGGACCAGGTATGCTAAACAGAATGCTATCTTTTAATATCTTCTAGTCTTTCCTCAAAGACTTCATTCTCTTAACTGAATTCTTAAGTAGGAATTAAATGGTAGAGCCTGGAGGTTTGATTCTCTATCAGATTGCTGGAATATATATTCTCCAGGCAGGAGGTATCTTGCTGGCATTTTCTTTTTTTTCAACAGTATTAAACTTTAAAAACTTATTTATTTTATGTTTACTGCACTGGGTCTTCACTGCTGTGCACAGGCCTTGTCTAGCTGTGGTGCGCGTGGGCTTCCCATTGCAGAGCACGGGCTCTAGGCGCTCGGGCTTCAGTAGCTGCGGCACGCAGCTCCTCGGGCTCAGTGGTCGCAGTTAACAGGCTTAGCTGCTCCACAGCATGTGAAATTTTCCCAGACCAGGGATTGAACGTGTGTCTCCTGCATTGGCAGGTAGAGTCTTAACCACTAGACCACCTGAAGTCCCAGAATCTTCTTAAAATTTAGGAAATTAACCTGTCTTCACTACTTGATTACCCCACTAACGTATGAGGATAAAGCCAACAGAGTAACTGCAGGCAGATTCATAATTTTTCTTAGGAAACTTAAAGTGAACAATCTGCTGGTATCTAGCACCTCATATTGAGCCACAATCACCTGTATCTAGGTCTAAAACATTTCTATCACTTCAGAGTAAAAGCCCTTACCAATTAAGCAGTTCTTCTCCATTCTTCTCTTCCCTATCCCCTGGCAACCACCAGTCTGTGTTCGAAACAGATTTCTCTTCTGGATATTTCATATAAATGGAATCATACAATATATGACCCTCTGTGTCTGGCTTCTTTCATGATGTTTTGAAAGTTCATTACTTCATTTCTTTTTATAACTGAGTAATATTACACTGTATGTTTATCCATTCACACACTGACAGATATTTTGGCTATTTCCACCTCTTGGCTATTATGAATAATGCTGCTACTAACATGTTTGTGCGTGTACATATCAGAATATTTGTTTTTAATTCTTTTGCATATATACCTAGAAATGAAATTACAGGCTTATATGGCAATGTTTACCGTTTGAGGAATAGCCAAACTGTTTTCCAAGGTGCTGAATCATTTTGTAACCCCACTAGCACTGTAGAGTTCCAATTTCTCTATATCCTTTCCAATCTATTTACCACTTTTTTGATTATGTCCATCCTATTGGGTGTGAAGTGGTATCTCACTGTGATTTGATTTACAATTCCTATGGGTGTTCGCTGGAAGGAGTGATGCTGAAGCTGAAACTCCAATACTTTGGTCACCTGATGCGAAGAGCTGACTCACTGGAAAAGACCCTGATGCTCGGAAAGATTGAAGGCAGGAGAAGGGGACGACAGAGGATAAGATCGTTGGATGGCATCACCAACTCAATGGACATGGGTTTGGGTGGACTCTGGGAGTTGGCGATGGACAGGGAGACCTGGCGTGCCACGGTTAATGGGGTCACAAAGAGTTGGACACGACTGAGCGACTGAACTAATGACTAATAATCTTGAGCATGTTTTCATGTGTTTGTTGGTCATTTGTATTATATCTTCTTTGGAGAAATGTCTATTCAGGTCCTCTGCCCATTTTTAATTGTGTTGTCTTTTTGTTGCTGAGTTATACGATATATATTCTAGATACCAGACACTTTATAGATATGATTTGTAAGTATTTTCTCCTGGAATCTTAAAGTTTTCTACTAAATTTTTTTAAAAATTTTCAAATTTTTTTCAAAAGTTAAAATCCCCTTTTCCAAATTTATCTTTGTTTGCCTTGCTTGTATTTTTCTATACAGAATCCCAATCCAATATGTAAGAGATAAAAATGGAGCCGTTTCAACTGCCAGTGGAGAAATCTGAAACCCTGATCACTTGGCATCTCTCTTTAGCAAATAATCCAAGAACACATGCACAAAGCAAATGAAACACAAACAAATATATGTCTTCCATAGCACTGAATCATTTTGCACAAACTTCATCCATCCAAAACACAGTGGAACACAGTTTAAAAGACACTGTCCTACACCATAAGTTCTTTGGTCACTCTGTTAAAATACTTGAGACCACGAAGATGCATGCACAAGGAAGGACGAGAAATGTCCACTTGCCCCAAATCTATGAGATTTACTTACTAAAATGCAATTAAGTACTTTAAATATACCCACCTCTCTGCCATTTAAAATTAAAATCTGAAATAAGATCCTAAATCAAATATCAACTGCCACAAACAGCAGAGTTTGAAGTTATTTATTTAGTGAGAATCCACTGAATCATTCCAAATATTTAGAGAAAAACAATGAAGGATCAACGATAATTTTAGAAAGCACATTATTTACTGGAATAATTTGTACTGAGCTATCACCCCAATGTTTGGTCCCATCACATATCCAATGACACTGATTTACTGGGAGATGATGAGTAGGACTGGCTGCTATTGACTATAGAAAAGAAAGGTATCCAGTCTACAAAGTCTTGGTCACAACACAAATAAAAATCAACTAAGTTAACTGGTCTACATGTATCCACAAATAATCCTTTTAATAAAAAACAAAGACTTATAAAAACTCATATATGCTTAAAATAAAACCAATGCAAAAGTTCAAATTAAATTAAATTTCTAGAATTTCAAGTGTGTTCTATTAGTAACTGTATGGCATCCACAAAATGCAAAAAAAGCTTTTCAAGTATAGTTGGACACTGTTTATTGTGCCAGGACTATTTTACTTATACAATTCTATACTACAGCCTAATTCTAGGTCTGAAAATATTTCAAAAACATAGTTAAAATAGTATTTCCTTAATAACAATTTTGTGAAAATGTTTTTACCTCTTCTTCCTCAGTTTCATAGGTGTTAAGCTCATGTTTCTGACAGTAAGGACCCTCTTTCCAAGCTTCAGTATCACCACAGTCACAGAAACCTCCACCTCCTGATGTTGTCATCTTGAAAAGAAATTGTAAAGTATCTTGTCAATAAGTATTTACTGAGGACTATCAGCTTATAAATAGGAATATCAAGTGCTAAGGAAATAACATTGCTAAAATGTTTAATTTCTTTGGAGGATAAAATCAAAAAAACAAATCTCTCAATGTTTTAAAACTTATTTTAAATAAGCCTATAGGCTAGTTTAAGTGATTTCAAAATAAAATCAGATACTTTATAGTGTTTAGTAAGCAACATCTATTTTTTATTTATTTTTAATTGAAGAATAACTGCTTTACAGTATTGCACTGGTTTCTACCAAACAAGGCTACATCTATTTTAAAGAGGTAAAATATGTCCACTTGCTTGAGTTTCTAATTAGTAAAAATCACAAGGGTTTTCTTGCTAGGTTTTGGCTAAACTGATATACTGCTGGTATCTGTGCTACCAGGCTATAACATACTATAACAGATTCAAGAGTTACAAAGATTCTTTTAACTGCTATCTTCTACAAAAGTCTAATAAGAGTGCTGCATGTGTATCAGAAAAGTGATCAACGAAAACCATTTATTTATTCTTTTCTAAAACTCTCTAAATAGCATTCTTTGAAAAGGAAGGAAACTCTGGAAATACCACCTGGCCACAAAACTTTTTACCACTTGTGGGGGTCAAGAATTATTCCTGCTTCCTTAAAATACAGCAATTATTCAAGGAATCTGGCAAGATAAAACTTATTATTTAATAATTAGTAGACTGGAAATTCTGCTTCTGAAAACATGCTGTGAGTTTATGAATGGGTATAGGTGCAAGTTTTACAAAGAGCCTTTCATATTTTGCTCAAGGAAAGTATTTATGTGTTACATATCACAGGGTAATTAATGTAAACTCACAAATGATGGTTACTCTTTTAAGGGCTGCAAAGATACCAAGAAACATGAGCAGACAGGCATATGGAAAATGATAACTTCACCCTATAGCTCTTAATGAGTGTTCTGGTTACCAAAGATAGGTAGGTAGAACAGCCTAAAGGAAACTAGGATTCTCTTGCTGATTTATGAAAATAAAAAGAATATACAAAAATACGAATTCAATTTTGCAGCTGTTTTAATTGATTATTATCAATACTCGGGCAGAGTAAATAAAAACAAACAGGAGAAAAAGTCCTGAACTAATAAAGCTCTTGAATTAATAAGATGACTGCAATATTTCTTCTCTATCATTTTACTTGAGATTAGTGTGAGAAGTTCCAGCTCCCTAAATTTCTGAATGTTCATAGCTCTGGCTTCAATTTCTAGTACAGGAACCAGGACAGGCTTAGCAATAATCTGCCTATGTATTCTGTGGCCCTAATTTAAAAGCAAACACACTTGATTTTTGGAAAAGTATTGTTTGTATTATAGCAGTAAAATAAACAAACAAAACCTGGTTAGCCTTATGTTCTGAAATTGGCTTTCTTTTACACTGTATAATAGTAGGTGCCTCTTTAACATTAAGAAACAACAAATATTCTGTAGAGGTTCACCAAAAAATATTTCTTAAAGGTATAATCCTGTCACTTTTCCTTATTTTGCTCACTCATTCTTCCTTCAGAGTCTCCCTCTCACATTTTAACTCTCACCTTTATTCTCTAATTTTTGATAACCTGCTTTATAAACCTAGAACTAGAAAGATAATAAACATTAAAAATAAACAGCAAAGCTAACTAGCTGAAAACCAATACTGGAAGAGCTGCTATCTGTCTTGCCTTTCTTAAACCATGTATTCCATGAAATCTGGATTCATAATTTGTCTCTACACTGCCATCACATGTTTAATGGTATTTCAATAACACGTTTCTTAACCACTCTCCCCAGTTTCAGTGTTAAATCTTGGGATTTTAAAAAGGAAGAAAATGTACTGAGTATAAATTTCAATACTAGGTGTGGTTATCATCTGGTTATTACTAACCCTATATCGATGGTCTCTGTGAATACTTCCCAAAAAGCACTCCATGCATAAAACACAAGTTGGATCAACTGCACAGTCTCTGTAAAGTTAAAGAAAAAAAAATCATAATGTATACAATAACTGTATATTTTACAATGCAGTATTTCAAACTAGAATCTATCTTAGAAGAGCCAGAATAGTGAAAAGCCTTGCTGTAAGAAGAAAAAAATTATTGCTCCAAAAGATCTGTCAGATCTTTGATCAATGAAATCAGCTTAAGAAACTGTTTCTCATATTCGATGTATATTAGCGGGTCTTAGAGGGCACACATTACCAGAATGGCAATTTTCCCTAAAGATTTGGGGAAATCGTATTTTATATTAAAACACACAGATGTATATGGAATAGATTTTAGATATTATACAGTCTTAAGATATATCCTGAGATTTCAAGTAACTTTATCCAAACAGATAATTCAGACCAAAGGTCATCAAAGTGGTTTCTACGCACATTCCCCAAAATCAAGATGCAAGAAGACAATATTAAAACAAAGGTCTATTTAAATTTTCACTAATTTAAAAGGCAATCATATACTAAGCATTCAATATAGAGGCTGACATGGGTCTCTACACTTGTATATCTGATGGTCACACAACATTTATGGTTTGTAAGACATCCTGTTGGGAGAGGTAGATTCCACAAGGTGCACGGGTTGACAATGGTAGCCTCAAGTCACTTCATTTGCTTTTATCATACTGTCAGTTAGATATACTTGCATATCATACCTTAAATAAGAGAATCTCTGATTCTATGAAATGAGATGGGAGTCATGAAAATCTTTACATTTCCCCTTATCCTGTTTCTCATAGGCAACCACCCTACTATCCTTATTATTGACTTTTATTTGTATATGTTAGTGGCTCAGTCGTGTCCAACTCTTTGTGACCCCATGGACTGGTAGCCCGTCAGGCTCCTCTGTCCATGGAATTCTCCAGGCTAGCCATTCCCTTCTCCAGGGGATCTTCCCGACCGTGAGACTGAACCCAGGTCTTCTGCACTGCAGGCAGATTCTTTACCTGCTGACCCACCAGAGAAGTCCTTTATTTGTTTGTGTTCTTGCAAAATGTTTTTGAGTACATGTATTTTTTTCATTCTTTTTAAAATAGTTGTTTTACAATATTTTATTAGTTTCAGGTATACAGCAAAGTGATTCAGATACACATATACACATATACATTTCAGATTCTTTTCCAGTATAGGTTATTAAAAGATATTGAACGTAGTTGCCTGTGCTATGCAGTAAATATTTGTTTACTAAGTGCATGTATTTTTGATGTGTGCAAATCTTACTGTTATGTATTATTCTGTCTCATTCTGTTCTTTACTTTTTCAATTCTGTAACACAATCCATTCATTCTGTATGTGTACATTTGATGTGCTGCTTCTAATTGCTATATAATATGTCATGGTGTGTTCCAAAACATTTTTTCTCTATACTATCCCTGCACCGGATACCTGGATTACCTCCAATGCCTTTCTACCACAAATAATGCTTCAATTAACATCCCTGTAAATGTTCTCTATAGATCTGATTGAGATTTTCTTTGGTAAATCAACTCTAGAGCAGAACTGCTAGGTCATATACATAAAGTTTTTATTCTGAGTGCCATGCTACTGTCCAGAGTGGCTGCATGTTTCCCAGCAGTGTGTAAGGGTTTTTATAGCCCTGCATCTTCACTAGCATTAAGTTTTTCTCTAACAGGGGCTTCCCCGGTGGCTTAGTGGTAAAGGATCCACCAGCCAATGCAGGAGATACAGGTTCAATCCCTGGGTCAGGAAGATCCCCTGCAGAAGGAAATGGTAACCCACTCCAGTATTCTTGCCTGGGAAATCCCAAGGACAGAAGAACTTGGTGGGTTACAGTTCATGGGGTCACAGAAGAGCTGGACACAACTTAGCAACTATACAACAACCAGCCTAACATAAGTGTGAATAGCTCAGTCATGCCCGACTCTTTGCGACCCCATGGACTGCAGCCCACCAGGCTCCTCTGTCCATGAGATTTTCCAGGCAAGGATACTGGAGTGGGTTGCCATGTCCTCCTCCAGGGGATCTTCCCAACCTAAGGATCAAACCCAGGTCTCCTGCACTGCAGGCAAATTCTTTACTGACTGAGCTACAAGGGAAGCCCTATGAAATGATACTTTACTATTTTAATTTGTATTTTTCTAATATACTTGAGCAACTCTTCATATACTTATTGCTTTGAGGATTTCCTTTTCTATAAACTGTTTGGTTATATCCTACGCCCATTTTTCTGCTGGGATTGCTTCATCTTCTTTATTTGCAGGAGTTCCCCATATAATTTAGTCTAGTAGACATTAATCACTTGGCCATTTAGACATTGCAAATATTGTCTCCCATGTGTCACGTGTGTATTAGTTTTGCCCATGGGGTCCTTTGTTAAACAGAACTCCCTATTTTGATGCAATTAAATTTACACACAAATTGGTTTGTGTTTTGAGATTTTCAGAAGTTCTTTTCCCAATCCTAGGTCACAAAAATATATGCTTTTAAAGAAAATCATTTTCTTCAATGAAATCTTTTGCTATTTTCCACATTTAGGTGCTTAATCCATATGGAATCTACTTTTGCATATAATATAGAACAGAGATAACATTTATTTCTTCATAGACAATGAACTGCTTTCTTTGTCTGAAACCATCTAGTAAACAATCTAATTTTTACCTACTGATTATGGTGTCACCTTTAAATATGTTAAGTTCCATTAGCAAGTCTATATCTAGGTTCTCTAATATATTTGAGTGACCTATTTGTTCTTATACTAAACCACACTGTATTACTATGGCTTTTTGTAGAATATCTTAATATCTGATAGGATAAACTCCCCTTTATTCTCCTTTTTTAAAGGCTTAATCACATAACTTTACAGAGTTCCTCAAAAATACTCAGTTAAAATTTTGACATAGATTACCTGGAATTTACTGATAAACTTCAGGAGTAATAGCATCCTTTTAAGAGTAAATTATCTAGGTACTTTCTAGGTTTTGTTGTTTTAATGACACACATTAAAATTTTTTTTTCATTTTCTAGTTAGTTAAGGACGAGGAAAAGAAACTATTGATTTTTAACATCCTTGATGAACTTAAGCAGTTTTTAATAGTTTGCTGATTCTTTTTTCCCCTGAAGTAAATTGAATATATAGTATGTACACAATGACAATTTAATTTTTTTCCTTATAATATTTATATCTTTTATTTTTCTTCCCTTATACTGTTGACAAGGACTTCGAGTAAAATGTTAAACAGCAGCAGTAACAGTAGGCATCCTTGTCTTGGTTTTGGATATTAAACACATCTAAAGGTTCTTATTAAGTATTACATTCACTGTCAGTTTACTAAGAAAGTGATAAACTTAGTGATATCACTATTATGTTCACTGTAGGTTTAGTAAGAAAGTGCTCTTCTAAAAAGAGTCAAGCATTTATTGCCTTTCCTATACAAACTGTGCCTCAGGGTAATCAAAGGATTGATGAGGGATTGTATTTCTTCTTTATAGAAGACTAGCTAATAAACAAAGAAGAGATAATAAATTCGAATAGCACCATTTTGCGACCACCTAACAAAATAAAGATCCAGGCAGCAAGCCATCACTGACTGCTAAAACATCAGGCAAAAAGGCTGGTAGAGGGCGTTCCCTGGCAGTCTGGTCAGTAAGACTCCACGCTTTCAATGCAGAGAGCATGAGTTCAGTCCTTCGCTGGGGAAATAAGATCCCACATGCTGCATAATGTGGCAAAATAAAGAAATAAATAAAAGGTTGATGGAGACCTTTACAATGATTGCATCTGCCAGGTAGCTAAATCCACTGCTGCTGCTGCTGCTAAGTCGCTTCAGTCGTGTCCGACTCTGTGCGACCCCACAGACAGCAGCCCACCAGGCTCCCCCGTCCCTGGGATTCCCCAGGCAAGAACACTGGAGTGGGTTGCCATTTCCTTCTCCAATGCATGAAAGGAAAAAGTGAAAGTGAAGTCGCTCAGTTGTGTCCAACTCTTAGCAACCCCATGGAGTGCAGCCCACCAGGCTCCTCCATCCATGGGATTTTCCAGGCAAGAGTACTGGAATGGGGTGCCATTGCCTTCTCTGCCTAAATCCACTGGTCAATCTTAAAAGCAGCCAAGCATTACGTGCCTCCTGATATGAAGAAATAAAAAGTTATGCATCCGACTTTCCTGGAGTGGCACAGCGGGTAAGAATCCACCAGCCCAGGCAGGGGACATGGGTTTGATCCCTGGTCGGGGATATTCCACACGCCGCACAGCAACTAAGCCCACGTGTCACAACTACTGAACCCGCGCCCTTGAGACCACACGCTGCGACTGGTCGGCTTCTGCGCTGCGACTGGTCGGCTTCTGCGCTGCGACTACTGAAGCCCTTTCCACCAGAGCCCACGGCCTCCAGAAAGAGGAGCCACCGCAATGAGAAGCCTGTGAGCCACACGAAGAGCAGCCTCTCCTCAATGCAACTAGAGAAAATCCACGCAGCAACAAAGACCCAGCGCAGTCAAAAATAAATAATAAATAAACAAGCAGGTCAGTTAAGATATAAAAAGTTTATTAAAAGAAGCTATGCATCAATAATTATAAAATTACTATACACTCTATTCCCTAATAACAGAGTTGTTAATCAAGCCTAACTACACGTTAGCAGAAAGACAGGGAAAAAAGAAAAATGTTAAGCAATATCATGTGGCCAGAATCAGCGAAACCTTGAATGTGGAAAATTCCATAGGACAAATGACCTGGTTTCTTAGTAACATAAATAGAAAAATGAAAAAAGAGGTAAAGGAGCTATCATAGTTAAAAAGAAAAAATGATTAACAGCCAAATGCTATGTGTGAAATCTGAAGCCACATTTATGAGTCAGTTAAGACAAGTTCAACCCTGTTAGACAGTAGATAATATTAAGAAATTAGTGTTAATTATTTTAAAACATTAATGGTTATAGAGAAAAAAGGCACATAGTGAGTATTGATTTTTTTAAAGAGTATGCTATCTGGAATGTTCTTCAAAATAATCTG